CTCGATTTCCACAGACTGCAATTTACTGCTGAGCCTTTATTTGAAGGGACCCACAAATAATGGCTATTAAGCCGTCAGGGGATGGACAGGGGATCACATTAATGAAATTAGATAAGGTGGAATGGTGATCTACGCAGCCTGGACTCTGGAGACACACAAGCCCACACAGACATGCTGTGCACAAGCGTGACACATTACGACTGCTTGCCGTTTAGCTTCTTTTTTCCGTTCCCCAGATCGGCCTGACCTGTGTTTGCTTCTGTCTCGCCTTCACCTTTACTGCACTTTACCCAAACACCAACTGGAGCCTAGCTTGGTGTTCTACATTAGGGCCTGTCAGCTCATCAGGGAAAGTTTCGCTGTTTGTCCCGAACACTGTAGGCAGTCGGTCCGTCAACCTTGCCATCAACACTGCCAAAACGCACACACACACGTGTCCACTTCTCCCCCGCTAACAGGGAAGTGTCAGTCGGGCAGGCAGTTGCACTCGCTGGCGTGACGGCTCTCCTCAAATCAGAGACCCTCGTCCCTGTCAACAGCAACCTGGCCCTGAGGCTACCTCTGTCACACAGCGTACACCTCTACCAACACACACACACACACACACACACACACAAGGATGGACTATAGCAGGGGATGAGGATAAGGTGGAAAAGGAGGTAGCTCTGTTCTGTGTGGAGAGCTGATTTCCACTTTATTAGGAAAGTCTGGTGATTGGGAGGTGGAAGAAGAGAGAGAGAGCAAGAGCCAAAAGGGAGACAGGGAAGTATTTGAGGAAGGGTGAGGGAAGTGTATTTTAGTTAAAACAGTCGGTCTGATTTCCTTCCTGACAGAGAGGACCAATTATTAGGTGTGACAGTTTAGGGAAATTGGCTGTGAGTGTGATGGGACAGATAGCAGCCAAAAACACATAGACAAACTGATAATTGTTCAGCAGACGATTTTGTCAGGCAGAGATCCCTCTGCAGCAATAAACTCCCTCCGTTTAGTAGATAAAAATGCAAGGATTGGGAATATATGATTCACTAATAAAAGCTCACTTTTCAGCAAATAACAAAACGCTTGACATTCCTGTTTTAGGGCTTTGTTCATATATAGTCGTTCACGTTCTCTTTGTATACACGTATGTAAGTGGGAATGTCTTGGAATGTATTCCCGCTGGCAGCAAACAGAAGAGGCCCTCTGTGCAATCGGACAAGGTGCCAATACCTCAGTCATGTGACAGTGACTTCCTGTCTGTGTGTCAGGCTGCAGCTGAGGGCTTGTCAATACCAGCTCGTGCTCACATCCTTTCCCATCTTCTCAAACACAGATACACACATCCATGTAAAATAGGATGAAATGCGCTTATAACTTATTTAGTGCAGCACTCACTTCATATAAGATTAGCACAGCTTTACTTCCAAAAATAACTGTAGTTTTTTTTAAGTCACATTAATGACTTTTTTTTGGGGCGGGGTGCATTTAAAGTTTGGAAAGCAAATACACTTTTACATCTGACAAGTAGAATTGAGATAATCCAAATGTAAAATCCTACTTTATCAGTTATTCTGATTCATAGAAAATAATTTGAATCATTTAAAAGAAGTTTTATCCAATTAAGTATCTGCACTCTGCAGTCCTGCAGACTCGCAGAGCTTAGAGGCAAATTCAAAGGGCAACACTGCCCTCCCATGTCTGGCTTGTGCTATTAAAACAAAATTTGCATGCTGGATTTACTTTAAAGTACACATTTTGCAGTTCTGCACGTTAATAGTTTGCCATAAATTCTACAAATACCCTCCCATGTCATATAAAACTAATATGGATTTTATAAATGTTAAATAGTTGTTCAACAATCAGTGTTATTTATACTTTTTCACAATTTAAGTTTTAACACTGAGGGACTTTAATCTTTTTTTGCTTGAAGTATGTTTTGTTGGACTTGATAGCTACACATCTAGTTTCTGCTTAACATGTGTAATTGATTGCAGGCAAGTCCCCACTGGCAACTCTAATTTATTTACAAACTTGTCATTCCACATCATTGATTACGTTGTCCTTCATTCCGGCTTTAATTATATGCAAAGATAAAAGATCCTCTCATTATTGTGTTTAATCTAATGAAAGGTTTGCACCGCAGCAGGGGCCAGTTCAGAGGTCAACACTTCTGCCCTTGGAGGGCACAGTCAGCCGTTTAAGGTTTTTAATTAGACGGAGCAAAGGGCTTTGAGAGGGGTCTTGAGTTGTTTTCTTGGTTACATGGACTAGGTTGGCATATAGAGAGTTTTGAAAGATCTCATAAGGTCACTCTTTTTCCACCTCTATTGACTATAGATCAGAACTTATTACTGTTTACTGCGGTACAAAAATATTGGTCTTAAACAATGCCTCTTTAAGTGTTCAGTCCTCTCACAGCTATAAGTTCTCTGTTGTTTTTAGGTTATCATATTTACATTATGCAACATTTTATCTACAGAAAATTGTTTATTACATTAGGAATTAAACATTTCCTGTGTAAGAATTTAAATGGAAATATTTAGCAGACTGTTCCAAAACATACAGTATATGAAAATCACTGAAAAACAGTGCTGGATTTAACATTAGCATTTATTGCCTCTGATTATTCCTAATGTGCATACTGAGTACGAGATAAACGTTTTCATTTAATTGGGAGACTTAATTGAGACACCAGAAAATATATTATTAATCTTTTAAAGAAAACATTGTTGTTGACTAGTTGAACCAAATAATTGTTATTGTTTCATTACATAGACATGTTTTTTTAATCTAAATTAATCAAATGAAAGCATAATATCAGTGAAAAAGGTTATAAAATGTTACATTTCACACATAGAGATATATTTGTGGTACTATTGTGTAGTGATGTAGTTTCTCTCCAAACTCAGAACATCTTAAGTGGAGACTGAGGGAATTTATGAAGTGGGCACTGAAGATTAATGTCACCAAATTACTGTCAGACAAAAATTGAAATACGGTCACATTCTTTCCTTCTGTTCCTGAGTTATGGCTCTCAGTAACGGATAGAAAAGTGTTTTTAAAGAACATTACAACGTCTAGGTGAACTTAACCTTTGGGTATAAAACATCACCACTTCATCATTTTTACCTTTGAGACTCTCCTGTGATTTTTTTGTTCCAATTACCAAAGGAATTCATATACAGATGGCCTTAACATATATGCTGTGTGTGGTCATAGAGCCTTTTTAGCTGTAAAAAGTCTATTGAAAAAGAATCTTTGAGTCTGAAGAGATGAAAGAAGTCATTCTCTCAGGCAACCACAAAATAAAATGTGCCTGACCTCTGCTGTTACATGTGCTCTCATTTTATGAAACATTCTTTAACTTCAAAGAACTTTATGATGTGATCATATCACATACACGGGCAGATAAACTGTGAAGAGCAGTTTCACAGATATATATATATATATATATATATACACATATGTGTGTGTATATGTGCACACTCATATACAGTGGTGAAGTCAAGAAAAAGTCGACAAGTTGACTTTTTTAATACAATAAGTTCAAAATCATCATCTCATCATGGAAAAGTTTAATTCCACCACCGATCACTGCTTAGGCAGATGCTAAAGGGCCATATAAAACATGTTACATGATAAGAGGCGACACATTAAGGGTGGCTACACCACCAGAGGGCAGTACCATTTTGTATTAAATGTGCCGGTATGCAGCAGAACACAGTTCACAGCCACGATGAAATTTAACAATGCAGTTTGTAAAAGATCAGATCAACTTCAAATTTCACACTTAGTCCTGACTTACAGTAACAAAGTTTGAATTGATCTAACAGATCAAGTCAAACGCTTTTAAGTTTAATTTGTTATATGCTGTCTTTGTTAAATACTAAATACAGGCTCTGCAATGGTGACCTGTCCAGGGTGTGCCCCGCCTCTCACCCATTGATAGCTGGGATAGGTTCCAGCCCCCCACGGCCCCACTGGGAGTGAGTAGTTGGGATAATAGATAGATGGATGGATGAATGCCGGCTTTCATTGTATACATTTATTGTATCCATGGTACCTTCCTCCTCATTTTTACAACAATACAGTATTTCTGGCATAGTCTCACAAAGTAAAGCATTGTGTTCTGGAAATAAAGCATCACACCTGATCTTTGATGAAATAGAGAAAAAGCTCCTGTTTAATGAGTGTGTCGTCAGTTTTATTGGCACTTAAACTAGATCATCACTGAGACTTTTCACATCACCAGGACCACAATTGTCAAAAAAAAGATTACATAAAAATACATAATGAGGTCACAGTGCTCTTTTTTATATACAAAAATCTAATATACAAGGCAGCATGGAAAACTGTAGCCAATACAAAAGACCAGTATCACTATCATTATCACCACATCATAAAAAAAACACAAAAAAACAAAACAATGCAAATATTTGAGGAAAGCACTGGACTGGATGAAGCTTGACTTCTTCTGATTTCACCATGAGGGCTGTTTGTTAAATCATTGGCATCATCTGAAACATTTAAGATGCTGTGACACAATCTGTTTTTCTGGAGCAACACATGTAATATTCCATATTGCATAATCAGCAAGTCTTTGAAAATTTTGTCAATCGTTTCCCTAATTAAAGAATAATAATAATGCAGATTGAAATGATTTACTGTCCCTGTTTTAATTTATTCCACCTCCTCTTACACCTAAAAGCCTTTTCTCTAGTAATTAACTTCATTTTATAGCAACTGGGAGAGCCTATATTGTTATGTTCTTTGCTGATATAAGAATATGTCCAGATATAGACATGGCTTTAGTTAATTTCAAGGCTCTCCATTTGTGAAGCTCCCCTTAGCGTACATCACAAAGACATACGTGTTTGCAAAGATCATTCATTTAAAGTCTGGTGTGAAACTATACATTTTCTGTCTCTGAATCAGACTAAAAGTTCATTGTTCACCTCCACTGAACAGCCTACTGCTTACCATTAGGTGGCACCATGCATCCACCAAGTTTTAACCATCATTCAGTCATACATTGACTCAGCAAGACCGGTCCGCTTGAAGGTTTCTGCCAGCTGTCTGGAGTGCTGCATCTTGGCTGACAGTGCTTCTAGAATATCATTCTGGTCTACAGCAGTAGCTGTCTGGTAAATGAAGGCCCCTACTGACTCCAAGCCACGCATACCAAGATTAACTCCAAAACCTGAAGGATAGATAAGGGAAGAATACAAAGGAAGGAAGACGAAGAAATTACAAGGGTAAACAGTTTACATCAATCATACATGACAAAATATTTCAGAAATGCATATGTTTGTGATAAGATGAGCTATGTCAGTCACCGTGGAAATCAACAAAAAAGTATTATCTACATAAAAAGCGATGAAAAAACAGTAATGTAAAATAAGCATCAACAGGACAACAGCAGATTAGAGTAAAGATTACTGAGTGCTGAAATGAGTGAAATTAATATGCAAAATACAAAAAACAAAGTCGGATCTCCATTAATCTGCCTTTCTTCCAGGGTTGTGCTTGTAAATGGTTTCATTGTCTCCTTCTTTTCTCTTATCTCTGACTTTAAAGATTTGGTTTATAAAGGAAAAGCTTTCCTTTGTATTCATGGAGATGCAGTTTATAGATACGTACCCGTGTCAAAATTGAGGACACGTGCTGCCTCCCCCTCCACAATGACCGCGACATTGTCCCCCTCTATAAAGGCTGCACTGATGCGTCTGTGTGACAGCTGGATCTCAAAGAGACGCCGGCTGCACTGCATCTGGTGGAGAGTCACATCACTGAGGCGAGGTTCTATGTCCGTCTTGTAGGCATTGAAGGATTGGTGGAAAATGTTCTTCATGATCTGAGTAACATAACAGAGGGAGTATTTAGAGATTTGTCTAAACACTACTTTTAGATCATGCTTCAACAAATAAGAACGAAAACACCTCCAACAAAAACTGTTATGGGACGGTCAAACTGATGTTCACCCAGTCATCACCATCTACCTTTGTCCCCTAGCTACGGGGTCAAAATGACATTGCCTGGTTTGATTGTCATTTAAAGATTAATAATAATAAAATATAATTTAATCTACATACATAATATATATATATTTCTATACACACAAACACAGTGTGGGGTTTATTTTTATGACATTGAGAAGCTTGTAAATTTGCTTTTTCTTTAAAGGTTAACCTGACATGAAAAAATTAATGGAATATGCATTTAATGTACTAGAAAAATACATGACAGATTAATCAGTAATGCAATAAGGAATTTTTCTACACAAAGTATAGTTATATCATTAACTTTGAATCGACTTTTTGTAAGTCAAAAGAACAAATGATTTTCAGAGTATTAACTAGTCTTACTTTCTTTAATCCTTTGCCTTTGACTGTATGTGAAGAGTCATGAAAATACTAAAGTGAATGGATTAGATCTAAAAAGAATAAATAAAACGTGTCCCTGACTGCTGTATGCCTTTGATTCAACTTTACAATGCATGTGAACATTGAATGAAAAACCTTCCCAGCTCCTCTGTTTTCTCACTGCTCTTCTTCAACCCATACTTACACTGTCAACTGTTACCAAGTAACAGTGCATTTGTATGGCCACCCACATAGCAACAAGAGCTCCATGTACAGTCTTGCCTGTGTGAACTATAGCTACATGACATGCTGCAAGGCACACACGATCAGAGTGTCACATGACATGAAAACCAAGTCACCTTGGATAAAATGCCAACGGCCAAGTAGCTCAACCAGCCTCCAGCCTAATGGGCAGCGTGGGAGCAAAAAAATTCACTGAAGTGTAACGACTCATTACTGATTACCTTTTTCCAAACACACAATGACGACACAGAAAGACGTGCACACACACGCACATAGACGTCAGAGTCCCTTCCGTTCTCTCTTCCCAGTCCTTTCATTCTCTGTTTGGTTAAAAAGCGGGATCTCCAGCATGTCTATAAAAGCACACATTATAGCAGCCCCGAACACATGCACACACTAACACAAAGACAGAGATGGACTTGCACGTAATGCATCAAAATACATCAACTCATGAAAAATAAGGACTCTGCAGAGTTAATAGCACCTATGCTCTACACAGAAACAGCTCTATAGATTCCACAGCTATTGATTGTGATAAAAGCTTCATTCAAAAAGCAGATCTGACGCAGAGGGCAGAGTCTTACCGAGGAGTTTGGAGTCTGCCTGAGGAAGCGAACAGTCTTGGTGTCAGAGGCGGGACAGACGAGGGCCATGCAGCGATTTCTGAAGGTGCCATATATCTTCAGGTGGAAGCCAGGCTTGACTGTTGTGTTCCTGTTCTCTCGGAGCGCTTCCATTCCATAAGCAGACAGGTCAAAGTAGAGGCTGTGAGCACGGATCTCAGGCGTAGGCACCTGAAGTTAAGTAAGAAATCAAAGTAAAAGGTGGCAGATGTCAGAAAAAAACCAAATGTAAATGGTTAAGGAATGGGATTTCTGTTAAGCATCTGGAGATCTTTTTTTAATACTAAGTAGCAGATATTTAACTTAGCTTGATTTCTTTTCAGTTGTGAAACCAATAACAATTTTCCCTCTAGACAAAAGTGATCAATTTTCTTTTCAGAGACATAAAGCAGCCAAGACGGATCGGGAAGCGTTTAGTGCAGCTAAATTAGACGGTGAGGCAGCAGAGCCGCAAATAGGAGGCGATAGAAGGGACAGTAAGGAGGACCAGGTCATATCCTGGGAGGAAAATTCAATCACTACAGGAAGCAACCAGAGAGAACAGTGGCCAATAAAAGGCAGCCACACAGCCACCAAAGAGGACGTGAGAAGAATGGTCATTGTGGCATAAAGCAACAAGGGAGGCTACACTTGTGTTCTCATATAAGTTCATATTATTTATTCAGATTTTGGCCTTAAAGCTTTTCATCTCAGCCTGTTTAGTTTTTTGTCCGCTCACAAAATGACCACATCATGTATATATACACTCCATTGTTTATATTATTTATCTCTAAATATGCTTCAATACAAGGAGCAGACATTCATCAACATGACTCAGCCTGAATCAATTACACACTCATCAACAATTGCTAATATCCCGTGACCCGCGCGGAACTGAGAACGGACAATGGATGTAAATATAATTAGCTGGCATTTTGAATGTCTGCACCTTAGTGGAGCGGGGGGAATGCTATTTTGTGTTGTTAGCAACAGAAAACACTTTTGTGTACAGTGTGTGCAGCAAGCTGCACAACAATTCATGTCTTTTTTCAGCTAGTATACCTGAGGCCAAAATAAACCCATTTAGGTTTTCCAGGTTATTATTGGAACAAGTCTCCCATATATCTATTCAGTTATTTTCTGAATCTCTTGGTAGCATCACTGAGTCATAATTCATAGAACACATTTGCTTTAACACTGAAAAAAGTAATGGGAAAAACATTGCTGCTGAGGTTTTGATTTCCTGATATTTAACAAAAACACTATATGCCTATTTATCTTTCCAAGCAGTCATAACGAATCAAAAAGCACTCCTGCTGCACTGGCCTACCGTCACCAGGCAAACAGCTGCCCTTTGCACATTCAGTGACTACCCTGAAATGGATGACAGCTATGAGGCTGACAACATCCAATAGTCTGCTGAAATCTGACTGCTTATATGAGTCGGATATTGTGCCCAGCTGCCATTAGAGGGTCTGCTCCACTGTTTACTCAGATTATCTATAGCCTGTGAGGTAGGCAGAGTGACTTCCATTATAATGTCCTTCTTTGCATAAACAGCCACCTGATTGCTACCGAGTCTGTGCGAAGGTGATGAAATGATTCTTGTTTACATATGCACCTAGTCTTTCTTCCATCATCCTAATGAATTTCTGCTTTAAGGCTACACACGGTGTCAGTTTTCTTCCCTGGAAGCAGCAGAACTTTTTCTACTTTGTCCTGCCCTAGCTTTATGTTATATTATTTTAAATGTATGAATGTTATATCCTATAATAAATATTATATCCTGATCAATACTGTAAACACTAGCACACATTTGAAGATGTTGAGTTAAACGAACACACAAATACACAAAACAAGGCTGTTCCCAGACCTGTCTTTGGTCTAATCTCTCTATGGTGGCGTTAGCTCCATAGGCATGGCAGGATTCCACAGTATAATCTGAGCTGATTCCCAGCACGGAGCAGGAGTCACCACATGACCCATCAGCCACCACAATCACACGTGGCCACTTGCTGCGCGGAATCCGCTGAAGATATTCCTCTGTGAACTACAACAAAAAGAGAGTACAGTCATTGTTACTAACCCTAATGGCTGCACAGAGGTGGACACGATAAATTATACATTTGTACATCATCTGAATTTTGGTTTACATGTGAAACATATAAGAAATGTTCCTTTGTGTGCATTTTGTACTCTTTTATGCATGTAGAGATCATCTAGATAACTTAATTTTATCTAGAATTCTGGTGAAAATAACATTGCAATCTATTAGAACAGTTCTGCCAGAGTATAAATATTTCAACAACACTAAAATATAAGATCTGGTTGTATCTAACACATTTTGCCCTTGATCATTTTGATTGTTTTGTTTTTTTCATTACTGTAGTCTGAATTATTACTTCTTCCGCTACCTATTAATCTCCAACAGGAAGCAGGTGGGTGGTAATGTAATACACCGACATAAGCTATTTAAATGAGCTCCACTGGTTGTGCTTGCCTGACCAACAGAGCATCTCTCAAAGAGATTTATTACTTTGTTCTGGTGAATGCTTCTCTGCCTCTAACCAGCTCCTTGCCTACACGCAGACTTTGAAAGAGTCAGATCAAGTTGGGGGACAGCTTGGCAGACTGGAGGGAGAATAAAAGGGTTCCACCGGGGCTCTAATGGCTTACATCCCAAAAGATCTCCGTCTCATCTCTTTAAACCACACAGAACAGGTTATTCTTCACTCCCAGACCTTTGAAGCATTGTCAGTCTCAGAGGACAAAAGTATTTGTCATCAAACCCAGCGTCATGTCCTATCAAGAGGAAATGGGTGACATGGCATGGACTCTAAATGAAACCGAAGTTTGCTGTGATCAAAGACCATGCTGACCTTGTAAACCATCTTCCAAAGGTTGGTGAGTCACAAAGCAGCCGGGAAGACGACAGCTGAATAGAAGCTGCCAGAGACACGTCATCCCAGACTGAATAATGTTTTATAACTACTGATGAGTTGTGAGAAGGCAAATGATGACATTTAATTAAAGAACTGTCAAAAGACCCACAGTGACGCTCAACCTTAAATGGGCCTTAATGAAGTCTGGGTTTCAGTTTTCAGCCATTACACAAATGTCGGCCGAACATTTAATTATTGTTTTCACATTAAGAGAAACTGCCTTTTTTTTTCCTCGGAGCAACCTCAGGTTTCCAAGCTGGTGGGCAATTTCCTGGTCCCGAGCCGTGTCCCAGCTGGAGATGTTACGAAATGATTTAACGATGTTTGTAATATAACAGGGATATGGTTTGTTATTTTATCATTATAGACTGATTCAGCTTGTGCTCTGATAATGCTGTCTTTTGAAAATAGGTGCCAGAACATACGGCAGAAATTGGCTTGTGGATGCCTGAAAAGTAATCCTGTGTGGATAAATAAATTCTTCGGAATTAAAATAGGATTACATCTAAAATCCATTTTATTTTGATGTTGTAGTATGTTTGGGTGGGGATTTATTCACTGTAATGCCATCATTTACTTTCCACTGACCTAAAAACTGTGGAAAGCATTCTCTTCCTGTTTGAGGTCAGTTTATATAACAAGTTATTTCAGCAGGGAAGCTGCTTTCAGTCTGACAGAGTGTTGTGGGAGGAAGATTTAGGTGCTCTGAAGACTCTCTGTAGCCTGGCGTGAATAAACAAACTCATCGAAGAGAAGGAAAATGCAAGAATTACGACGCAGCTTCTTTTTATGTCACGAGACAAATATGTTCCCTGCACTGGTTTCAGAAAAGCTTCAAGCCAAAGGCTCATCATAAGCGTAATTCAAAGAAATCTGACATTATCGGCTTTTTCCAAGCTGACTGAAAAGCCTGAGGAAAAAGAGCTTCCACAGGGTCAGGCATCTTTGTCATTATAAACTGCTGACCCCTGGGGGGGTCACTCAGCAGGGGGGGGGGGGTATTTATGCTTGATGCAGAGGAAGGCAAAAGTAAATGTAAGAGTTAATATTCTTACTATTACTAATTCTGAAAACTACCTTGAAATCGGTGGTGAGGACATACCTTTGTACCCAGCTGGACTTTGACGTCCACCTTGTGTTTGTTCTGCTCCAGGATGCTGAGCAGGTACTCCTGGAACACGCCTATCCTGGTGAAGAAGTGCTCGTTGTGCCAGCAGCCCTCCATGTTATCGAAGTCCACCCCGAGTCCCAGGAGAAACTTCACACTCCGGGGGTCCAGCGCGATCTGCTGCGGCCGGCACAGCATGGCGGTCCGGTACCTCTCGTCCAGCACGGTCAGCTTCAGCACCTTCCCGGAGCGGACAGCGACCAGCGCGGCGGTCAGCCCCACGGGTCCCGACCCCACGACGAGCACCGAGACCCTGGCCCGCCACTGCCTGAAGCCGTCCAGGCTGACTTTGACCAGCACGTACAGGGCCACGGCCAGCAGGGTGCTGAGCGCGGTGTCGTACGCCAGGGCGCGATACTTTTCCTCCGCGATTCCGCCAACTCCCGCCTCGTCTGGCCCAAAGCCGTCCATGTCGCGTGCGAGAAAGAGTTGATCCGAGCACGAAAGCAGGCGGGATGCACTGGTCAGATTGAGCCGTGTCCTTTTTTTGTTAAGCCTAACGTTCCCACATGCTGCTGCTGTGCACGCAGCTCGGACCAGCGGCGGCGGCCACTCGCGTCCTCCCCGGTCAGCTGCGGCACTGCTCCAGCCGGGAACCGTGTGTGTGTGTGTGTGTGTGTCTGTGTGTCTGTGTGTGTCCAGGGGAGCGTCACAAGACCAGCTGTTAAAAGCGCGTGAACAACCGACGCTAAAAAAAAGGTGCAAACCGGCGTCTTTCTGGTCCAAAAGCGCACCAGACTTCCCAAAGTTTCTGGAGCCCCTGCTCGCTCCCTAAAAAATCCTGCAGATGCAAGAGGCTGCGCTCTGCCTCTGTTCTCTCAGAAATCGATTTTCCCTGCTGTCAACACGAGGGAGGTCGAATGCTGAGGGGCAGATAGTACTACACACACACACACACACACACACCCCCTCAGGGGGGGTTAGTTGCAATGTGCGGCGCCACGTTCCAGCAATAATGTGGCGTTTATGGTGACAAGTTCACAAATAGCTGATGCTCAAATGACACAGAGTAGCCAGTGGTGAAGGATTGTGAGGGTCACTTACTCACATTCTATTTTAATCCCTCATATTTTATTAATTGTGTTAACTGTTGACGCACCACTTCATTCACCATCAGTATTATGTTTACTCTTTCATTTCATTTATTTCTTCTCCATCTACTTTTTCTATTTCATCTTCCATGAACCCAAGGAGGGAATGATTATCAGTGCATTTCACCATGGTGACAGCTCCTCTGAGTAGAATGCCAGCTTTTTTAGAAGGGCACACTCCTGTGGGTGCTGCTGGGTGTGGACCACACTGGCTTTTTTTTTATGGCAGACATGAGGACAAGGGTTAGGCAGAAAACTTTCCCGGGTTGTCACGTCTTCGTTCTTGCTTCGAACAATTAGTTTTGTCAGAGGCAAACATGCCATTAAAAAATGGTTGACCTCAGAACCTTTCACACAAACATCCAGAAACACCATCCATTAAAAATAGAACTCAGTGGCAATCTCTCTTTCTAAAGCATTAACAGCGTTTAATGCCACAAATTCTTCACTACCCTTGCTTAATGGCTTCAATGCATCCCATTCATTATCCATCTTAACTAATGGTCTGACCTGTAAGCCCACCATTAAAAAAAATAAATAAATAAATGAAAAAAAAATACTTACAGTGATTAGATTAATTTGCCCTTGCCAGTCTGCACATAAGTCAAAGCCCTGACATTTAATCTCTGCCTGCAAAAGAAGCATATGTGTATTCATAAATCCATTTGCATTTTCAATGATCCAAAGCTTAAGCAAGGGGGGGGGGGGAAGAAAACACAAAAAAGAGAAGAGAGATACTGCGGTGAAACACTACACCTCTACCAGTAATTGGTTTCCACCTTTACTCAGGTGCCTGGCAACTATCAGACTGTCTAGTGCCAGTCCACATGGAGGGAAATAAAGAAAAAAAGAAAGATATATCCGGTAGAAAGGCTTCTGTGGGAGATGAAAGCTATAAAATAGAATTGAAATGGATGACCTGAATGTTATTCAGTAATACATTTAGAATTACTAATCAACTTAAACTAAAGCAGGCCACATTAAAGGTATATTTTGATAAGGAGACAACCTATAAACCCAAAACAAGCACTACAATTCCTCACAGAGAGAACTACATCTTAAGATAGTTCGTTTAGGCTACCTAACACACTGTACCACAAAATGATAAACCATAAAAAAAACGTTTATCTTTGATTTCCACATTGGCATGCTAATATATGCCGTTTGAAAGATGCGATGGAGATAATCCTCCTATGAATCCTGGAGACTTGAAAGTGTTAAATGCGCTGAGTGCATCCACAACACGTTACTCTCTAACACAAAGCTATGCCCGAACAAAAGAAGCACTGAGAGCAGGTTCTCATCAGCTTGCCCACATCTTATGGCCAGTAATGAGCCTTTGCACAGATCTGAGGTCATTGGCCAAAAAAAAAAGAAAAAAAGAAAATGTCCCCTGACATAATGAATACAAACCCTCTTTGTAGTCAGGGAGTTCAGCTCATCTCCCCAATGAGGGCTACGGGGAAAAGACTGTGATGAGGCCGCCTGTTTGTTTGCGGTCTTCTTCATATTTCAACAGCCAGGACAAAATGAAGTGAAATGAAGCATGAAGATGAAGACACAGAGATAATTACTAAAAAAGGAACCAGAACACAGTTTTTTGATGACGCAAAAACAAAAGGAAGTTATACTGGTGTGTAATTTAAAAAAGTTAGGAGTATAAAGATCAAGTAAGTACCAGTAAACGCTGAAAAGTTACATAAAACTTCATGAAACACATCTTGTTTTCTGGTCAGAAGGGTCTTTAATATGCTCATTGCAGTCATTCAGTGCCGATTCACACATTAACGTCAACGTTTCCACACAAACTCCTCAGGAAGTCTGTGCCCTGGGCATGTATCTGCATACTTCTAATATCAGAAAATGTAGATTTATTCATTCAATTAGCTCATACTGTTTTGGTTCAAAACAATAATGAATTATCTCCACTTTTATACCGGTCCACCTCTCATAAAACTCCCTTGCATTAGAAAAACAGAAAGAATTCGCCTTCCCAGTGAGCGATTTCTATCGGACAATCATCTCAAGGCCTTGGCACACATCGCTGACAGTGACGCATCAGATTAGACTGGACAAAAGCCAAAATATTTTGCTTAGCCCAACTCAAGGACAGGTGGGCGAAAGCCTGCATGTATGGATGAAGGTACTGGCCTTTGAAAGGCCCATTCTTTCACACTGAATGCCTCACCACTGACTGCTGTGAGGACACCATCTTTCTTGCAGATTTAGATGTTCTGAGTAAAATCCAGCAGAGGTGCACCCTATTTCCCCAGCCAACTGTCAACCTGCCCACATGGCCGTCCAAACAGTGACGTATTAAGAGCTGACGTGGGCTCAGGCAGCCAAGAACATACCATCTCCACAAGGAGCAAATCAGATTGCCATGGTTACTCTGTGTAATAAGGTCAGTGTATGACGTTGGATGTCACCATCCTGACAAAACTAGAAAGAGCCGTTATAACCGATCAGCCGCTGCAAATCTAGTTTGTGCCTGAATAATTCTGTGGATTTTGGTCTAGTTGTACACAAGGGAATACAGTTTCCTTAAGTGTTCCCTATATAATCATATGTGGATAATGTGCTCTAGCAGGCACTAGAAATTTACTGAAGCATGCTGTGTGTCCCTTGTAATCCGCCTATTTCTTTTTTTTTTATTGACAAAAAAAGAAGTAGCTGCTACAAATAATCATTTCCACAGCTCAGCCACAAACAAAAGCAGCATAAAAAATGTGGCATCTGCAGATGACATCTCAGATTGGAAATTTAGCTTTTGGTGTCTGCATAAAGACTCCCCATTCTGATGGCAGGTATGGTTAAAATCTCATTTATTCCAAGACAGAAGAGCAACAAAGGTCTCCTTGTGTGCCAGCATGTACCTCAAAGTGAATCTGCCAAATATATGTTCATAATTTGGTGTGTTATTTTGGGTGTAATAAAACTTACACAACTTCCACTTTCCTCTCTAAAATAACATTCTTTTAACACTTTTTGAAAATAACATATCCAACTGAGCTGAAATCACCTCAGGCTTGTTTAAATCCTGCATGTACTCTAACAGTAAGACCCTAAGAAATGAATGTGTAAAAGATTTTGAGCATTTAATATCACAAACATGAAAGAAAAAAAAGAAAAAACCCAACTTTGAACTGAGACGATAAATCCGACAGCTCTGTCCTAACATCAGCTAAAGCCAGAAGTTAAAGGGCATTGTATTCCACACACTTTGATGGATCGGTTGAGAAGTGTTTCTGGCACATGGTCATTAGCCTCTTCAGTCCCTGTAGAGAGAAAAATATTGAGGGAATTTAGCTGCAAATTAAATCAATTGAAAAGGATAATAATCCTATTTTTTAGGTTCCTGGCAAGAATAGAGTAACGTGATTATGAATGAGCATGTCAAGGAGTGCATCTCCATAAATTGACTAAATGTTTTAATCCTTAAGCACTTCTTCCACTTTTGTTAATAATAAGTAGTATTGTGCAGTGTAATGCTTACAACAATTTAAGATAAAAAAGCACTGCTGATGAAATGTTTTTATCATTTCCAGTTAACTGTCACACAGCGAGGGACAATGTAAACATTAATCTGTGAAATGTGTGGAAGTGCATTGAAATTCTTAGAAATAGGATTAGGTGGCCTGAGTTAACAACAAACCTCGAGCCAACATGGAGAAAATAATCAAGGATTACCTGAATGTACTTCCTCTGTGTTTCATCGTTGAGGACATGAGCCACGTGTTTGGAGAAGATCTTTTCTCGTCCAGTACGGGCATGGATACCGACCATAGTCACACCAATGGGCCAGGGGGCGTTTCCGATGGCCATTTGTAGGTATGCGTCGTTTGCCTGAAATAAAGGGATTACGAACTGTAAAAACATGTGATGATGAGTGTAGTCAGCAGAACAAATTTGACAAGGTATCATCAAACCTTGACATATTCTCTCTCCAACATGAATTTGATGATGTCTGTGATTGAATCTTTGATGTCAGCAGGTAAACTCTGAAAGAAAGAGGAGGAAATAAGACACCTTCAGTCACTCCTCGTGAATTCACACTAGAGAAACAGTTCTGTGCCGGAAATGTTACCTTCTTCCTGAGCTTCCTAAAGAGCGGTTTGAGGTAAGACTCCGTCTGTGAGTGTGTTGCACTTGCCAACTTGCCCTGAACGCTGCGCTTCACATGATCTTCTCGACTGTTCAGATCTTTGGCCCAAACACCAAGAAGGAACTACAATACAAAAAAAAGAACGACTTTTAGAGATGGTTGGCAGTTATAAATCTAAAATACATATAGGAGTCTTACCCTCAAAAATTTATCGATAACATCCTGGTCCCAATTATCATCCCCTGTGCCGAGAGTTTTCCCCAGAGCCTGGGGAGAAAATAGGAATTTAGAATTCAAACATCAACCACAGACCGGCAAAACCTAAAATACAAAAATATATGGAGCAGAAGCTGAAAAAAAACATAAAAAATAAGCTATATAGTACTCTCAGTAGACATTCTCTCTCTTCCTTGAGCACTGTACCTCCAGCTCTTCTATGGTGGTGTTTTCTTCATGAACTTTCAGGTCGTGTTGCGTGTCCACCTCCCCTGGCTCTGTACCTCCAACTATCTCATTCAGGTACTGCTGGTCGATCTTGTCCATGGCTGCTTTCAGGTCATTTCTCAAGCCCTAAAAATTGGATTCACTTGACAGTTCAAATTAATCCGCAAAATACTTTTTTATGGAGTTTTCTGAAGGATGAAATACCCACATGTCAATAAACCTCACAACAGATTCGGTTTTACCTTGTTTACTTCTGGGGTCAGAATCTCAATTTTCCTGAGTCTCTGGAAGGCATCATAATCAGACTCTCCAAACAATCGGATCGGTTCCCCTCGCTCTCGAAGCCGTCGAATGACCTGCAAAGACATGAGATGATTCAGCAAGTAGTGTGCGAGAAAACATACTGACAGGCTGGAGCTGACTTTAGAACGGCCTAACCTCCTGTCGGGAAAGCGTCATGGGCAGCTTCTCTTCCGTCAGCTCCAGTTCCAACACTGGATTAGCTGAGGTGGTTGGTTCATCGTCCTCCTTCTGGTCAATCTTCAGGACAACATGAAGGAAAAAAAGATGTCACCATTATTAAAAGCGGTGGCAAAGTCTCAGACAGAACCAACTGCAGAATTAAAAGGATTTGTCTCACTAAAACATACCTCACGCATACACACCTCCACTTTACCTTTGTGAAACACTCAAAACACCCAGTGAAACACCCAAAACTAATAAAATATGCCATATTTCATCAACCAAAATTTGAAATGAATATGATTCCTGAAAAGCATTGGCAGAAAAAAAACAAATTCCATGACTCGAGGCAAAACCAATTGAACATGATTTACATGAGGAAAATCTCAAAATATGCTCATGCTTTCATGAAGACATGCATCACAGCACTCTTAGATTGCAGTTAAAGAAACACAATCTAAAAGACCAATAAGGAGATGGTTAGAAAAGTGTCGTCCAAACAGTGTTTTCTGCTTAAACAAATAATAAAAATAAAAAACATGTACATGGATAATACTTTTAGATGATGATTTTTCTTCTTGAAAAAGTCTGCAGTTTCTGTTGTTCAGTACAACTGCCCAAAGAAAGAAAAACCAACAGCACAAAGTCAGAGGAGAAGTTGCAAAAATGTTGAGGATTCAGAAAAAAAGAAAAGTAAAAAGTACAGCATGAAACAAAAAATTTTCTTTTGAACTTAAGTAAGTCATGCTGAAATCCACGGCGCGGCTGTGTCCCACTTCGGCTTTGCGGCTTCCTTTCCTTGTTCCTTTGTGTTGAGTGATTCAAAACCATTATTTTCATTTGTAACTACAAATGCTAAACATGGGAGCAGATTCAATCAAATAACTTAATTTTTACTGGTTTCATACTTAAAAAACACCTGTTTACAAAAATAAGGTAAACAGGGAAACATTTTCAGAAATACATTTAACAGACTTCTGGCCAATTCATGAAAGAGTGTTAATGTTTTGTTTGGCTGTGAGTGAGTTTGTACAGCCTGCCATAATCTAGAATGATTATTTAATTACTGACTATGAGTTTTTATTATCTTAGCGTTTTGCATTTAAACATCCAGTTTATCCAGTTTAATGTGATTATTTCAGACAACGCTTGTGGGAAAACCAATGAGTTTCCACCAGTTGATTACTATCATCCTCTAAGGTTTTAATGAGTGAAACTTTAGAGTGGATACCAAGGAAGTGGAAGCTTTGGGACACAGTGTGATTGATCCTTTCATCATGCAGCTTTTTTTTGCTACTTTCACTGAGCAATCCCATACCTTGCTCTCAGAAGTCTCTTTCTGAACCTACAGATGCAGGCAGCAGAGGCAGGTTGTGGAGAAACAGCACAGTAAACACACTAATATAGTGCTGAACATCAATATCTGAGCTATTTTCCCTCCAGAAAAAGGTTGAGGTAATGCACAATCGGAAGTAAATGTGATGACTTAGAAATGTCTGAGTGTGTTAGGCAGAGTGAGATGTATGAGATGATACTGATACTAACGTTATATCCACATCTTCTGTAGTAATCTTCTTGCTCGATTCGTGCAAGATCACCCCTTTTGAAGAATTTTTTGGAGTCCTGAAATTAAAGATAATTGGCTTGTTAAAAGAAACTTCATGCACAGCAGAACCAATACAGTGTTAAATGAACATGTGTTTCTTCTCTCACAGAGTCCATCAAAAACTAAAAACTAATCAATTGACCAGGAAATTATTTTGTTTGATCTGTTGATTGTTTGTTTGTTTTAGCTCTATAACAATGTGGAAACCACTAACTAGGACACCTTTCTTTATATTAGGTAAAAGTGGACAGAGGTAGCAAAGTGGATAGAGGTATAGTGATATACACAAAAAACATTTTGTGAGTGAGCAACACTATTGCATTGGTTAAAATAAAAATAAAGGATGATTTCAGACTTCCTAGTGGGAATATTAAGTTGAAAGTACGCGATGTAACTTTAACTTATTTCACTCTGTAGTAAACCATATATCTCTACATGCAAGATCAGTTTGTTAAAAGAGCGATACGCCCATTTATACAGTTATAAAAGATCATTCTGGAAAGGCAACTTGGTCTGAACTGGCAACGCTAGCTAACAGGGCTAACCTATTAAGCTAACGAAAATAAACCACCTTATTTTGATACTTACGTCAACAAGCTGCTTCTCCTCGATGAGTTTCCTTTTTCTGTCAATCTCAGCTTTCAGAATATCCATTTCAGAACGGTAACCTGGACGTATTTCTGTTTACTGACACGAATAAACAGAGATACAACCACGGCCTTTTCTTGCCATGAAAAGACCGGAAGTTGGCCTTGTGGAAAGTCAGAGTAAGAGTACTTCCTGTTTACTTTCATTGGAAATTGTCTTCAAAGTAAAATAATAAAAATAAATGCAACTTCGAGCAGTACCCTTTCATGATAAATTCTAAAAAAACAAAAGTATAACGATCTCTTCCAACCATGAACATTTTTACACTTTTTCCTATAGATATTTGATTATTTTCTTTTATAGTTGCAGCTATTTTAGAGTAAAACCATCTAAATCTTCAGGTGAAATATAACTAGGTTTCAGTGATAACACATGCTGCAAGAAAAATCCCTTTAATACGCTTATTCTATCTGGAAATTGCAAACGGAAAAAGCAACCTTTCCAATCATTAAACGACCGAATTTAACTCAAAAGAACTGAGGAAAAACTTCAGTATACAAAGGAAAAGGCCCAGCCATCTCTGGGCCATGGTCCCACTGGAGATGGGCAGGGAGAGCTGCAGAAAAGGGCACTGCTACACTGGATGGCTGTGACTCAGGTGTTTGCCCTTTAATTGCTAAATAAAGATCTCAATTAAAAAATAGATTAAGGAAAGCGCTATTTTGGCTGGTGTGACATCCCCAGAGCCAGGTTTTGAAATGATGGCAAGTTTGATTAGTTGGCCTATTGGTGTCTCAGTCACATGAGCCTACTGTAGATAATTATCTGAATCAAAAAAGTATCTTTCTGCATCTCATCAATTTAGGAGGAATACCATGTCTGCCATGAGCAGATTTATTTTCTCACATTGTGGGTATAAACACCTCACCAGTGACTTGTCTGGAACATTCTGCTCTCAAACATCATCTTAATGTTCACATTTAAAATTTAAAAAGCTGTAAAAAAAACAAAAACGTTTTGGTGCATCAACAGTGTACTGGTCTAAACACTGTCTCATTTCAACCAGCAAGTCAACGTCTGGACACCACCGACTCACTCGACCTTTTTAAATGAAACATACCATCAGGTGGCGCAAAGGGATGTGTGACGAACTCTTAATATTAAAGTCATTAATTTATTTACATGGCGAAAGGGAAGGCTCGGCATCATGCTGTTAGGGAAAACAGATATCACATCAGAAATTCCTTGGGAAATTTAAGCCTCGAGGGTGAGAAGCTGCCGGTGTCAAGAACCAAACGGCAGGCTGGGGAGAAATTTGAACTGATTAATAAGGCAGGCGGACGGTGATTCCGTTGAGTGTATAATAATTGACTTCATCTTTCTGAGGAGCGATTTCCGACAGCACGACTTACGGAATATTCCTCTGGAAGATGGAGTTTGGGGAACGGAAGAGAAGAAGGAAGTCGCAGAGCTTTAAACTGGTCACGGATGAAGGTAGGCTGCTGAATGAATGTGAGACCTTGCAAGACGCGCGTCTGTGTCTGGTGTTTGTCTGGAGCTGTGTGCCAGCAGAGGAGACTCCGTAAACAAAAGCCATCGCCACCACAATGGACAGAATGTGCATCGGTGGCTACAAAGAGCTGACAGCAAGAATTACCATCTAAAATTAGTACAGGGAAAACATTCCACCTTCCAATCAGTGTCAACATATGTCTTTCCGATTCAAATGCTAAGAATGAATTAAGCAAGCAGTCCAAAAGGTAAAAATGTGCACTGCACCCTTAACGGCTTGCACTGCTCACTTTTTAACTGAGGCTGTGAGCTCTGTCGACAACTACTCCATGCTACCCACAGGTGGTGGTTTCTTCATGGGATGGGAGGGGATGGATTGGGGGCTGTTCTGCTTTGGTTGACATCACAGCCCATCAGCCTGTACACGCCTCAGCGGTACAAAGCAAAAGCATGCACTTCAGGCTTTGGTGTTCTTTTAATTGCTTGCAATTGTGCATCATGGCAAAATGATTATTTTTTTCTATATGTGCAGACTGTGACCCTTCACATGCAACAAATTCAAGCTACAAGCATGCCAACGGTGAAAGTAAGGATACCGCTTTGCCTGCTGGTATGCATACAATTTAAGAATACATTTCTGCAATATGTCATAGCAGATATCACTAATTATATACAAATTTTTCCAAATTTAGTTCGGCCGGGTGACAAGGGCATGGAGATCAAAAGGCAAATCACAGGCATGATGAGGCTTCTGAACGATAAGTCTGGCAGAGTATATCAGCGTGTTGGGACAGAGCAAGAAAGCTCAACATCGGAGCCCCAGGAGAGGCATCAGAGCCAGATACAGCAGTTTCCAACCGTGTCTCTTGTGTCAGAGGACCACCAGAGTACCAACTGGAGCTCCACAGAAGACCCAGAGCCATCATCTTTATCCACATCCACCCCAGTCCCCAATGGTCCAAGTTGTGGCCAACACAGCACATGCTCCGCTCCTCTCAGGATTCCCAACAGCGCGAAAGATTCACCTAAAGCCACTGAAGCAAATGGTGAGGTCCATGGTACATGAGAGAAGACAGCCAAACACAACAACATTTGCAACAAAGAAAAATTATCATTATTATAAACTGCAAGCAGAGATAAATGTGCTACACCTTGAATAAGCCCTAAATGAAACATTCCTCTGATGTTAAGAGATATAGCGTGAGATAAAGCAGTTTGCATGTAAAAGTAAACAATGACTGATCAAAGCACTGCTGGCTCTCCAGCAGATGTGCCCCCCGCTGCTGTTCAGGAACCCCCATGCTGTGTGTGTAACTGTAAGGGCACCCTGAGGGCTATTCTGCAGGAGCTGCGTAGCATGAGGAGGCTGATGCAGACTCAGAAAGGTCAGAAAGTGCACTTGAAAATACACTTTGAGAGAAGCTGGGAAAAAGTAACGTGATTGTGTCTTTTTTGTAATTTTTTTAGCATCCTTTGAAAGGCAGGAGCAGGTGGCATCAGGCTGCCAGCCTCGCCTTGGTCCTACCTCCACTTCTCGCTTCATGCCCCGAAAGAGGAGGCCCATGTATAAGATGGCTCCACTTAGTGTTTTCAATAATAGAAGAAGCACTCTTTCCTCTTTGGGGGCATCAGGGCCTAAAGCTGCACCTGCTGAATCCGTAAAAAGTGCAGAATGTGAGAAACTGGACTCGTCCACCCCCGACATGCACCCTGTCTCTTGTGACGTGTCTGTGCTGCCGTCCCAGAAGTATCCAGCAACAGCGTGTGACACACAAAACCCTTTCCTGAACAAGCTATGGGAGCCTCAGGTATTAGAGGTAATATGCATGCAAATGTTCTTGGATTGTATGGATCAGCATCTGCTTTTCCTAGTTTTACTGTGATGCTCATTTGTGATTTAGGCAAACCGAACCCAGCCACACAAAAACAGAAACAAATCTGACTTACTTTTCTTCTAAATTAGTAAGTATATTTACTCACAACAAATCCCACTATTAGAAGAAGAAGGTACAGAAACTGATTTTATACATTCAAATATTGAGATAATATTCTTCCAGGTTGTTATTAGGCTACAACACCATGCTGCCACTTCTGAAATCTTTTCTTTCCATAAGATCCTTCAATATTTGTAGAGAGCAGCTAATCACGTTATAGGCTTTTGCAGATATTATCATATGAATTGATTGTTTAATTTAATTTACCTGACAGGATACTCTATACAAAAAAATCCTCAGTGTAAGATCTGATGATTCTTGTTTCTGTGTCTCCGTGACTTTTTTAATTTCATGGCTAGTACAACAAAATATAGCATCTGCCGTTTAAAATGAAATGCTCGTCTTATCTTCAAATGGTCATTTTCTTCATATGCTTTCAAATAAACTCTATGTTGCTCAACTTTTCTTCAGTCCGAGGTGCGTCTCGCAGAAGATTATGATGTGTTTATCTCTAAAGCCCAGCTGGACTCCATTCTGGTCAACTATACCCGCTCTGGCAGCCTGCTGTTCCGCAAACTGGTGCACATCCAAAATGTTTTCATACAAAATTTAATGAGGGCTAAATTTGCTGACTGACAAAAAATTTTGTAATTGTTGTTGTTGTGTGTTCAGGTATGTGCTTTCTTTGATGACGCTACCCTGGCTAACTCGTTACCAAATGGTAAACGGAAGAGGGGGCTAAACGATAACCGTAAGGGCCTGGACCAGAACATTGTGGGTGCTATTAAAGGTAAGGGAGAGAATGATTTAAAAATAAAAAATCTTAGTTGCTATCGGGTACACACAAATCGGTTAAGATATGTTTTTTAAATTCTATATTTTGTGTCCAGTGTTTACAGAGAAGTACTGCACAGAGCACAAAATAGAGAAGTTGCCTGGGCCTCGAGACTGGGTCCAAATCCTTCAGGATCAGATCAAACTTGCCAGGAGGAGGCTGAAAAGAGGTCTGTTTCTAACCTTCACTGAAATCAACCACACAGTTTGTTTACACTGTACATTAAATGGTATGTTCTTTGCTATTCATGTGTCTAACTTCCATTAGTTAAAGACTTATCTTGTTCAAGAAATTGCAAAAATAGTTCAACCTGTTCAATCCTTGTTCATCTTTTAACTCTTCAGATGCTGCAGAGGCTGAGAAAAACTCAAATGGACCATCCACAAGTATTGATGTCATATGAAGCTGTTTACACACAGCTAAGAAAGTTTTTTCATTCACACTTTCCACGTCATTGATCTGTTGTTACTGTTTTGTAATTCCATCTTCCTCTTCAAATTGGTATGTCATTTTGTAACATTTTTCCAAGCGCCTCGCTTAGAGACTTGAACTTCTTTCTTCACTGTCATAACACACACACACCCACTGGTGCTCACTGTCATTCTGTTGCTTTGACATTTAACATTTTGACGTAGCTCCCCAAAATGTCAGCTACTTATTTTCACACATGAATCTTTCCCACCCTTTCACCTTTATTTTTTTTCATCCCTAACTGTTACAACAGTGATTCATATCATACTGCACATGCTCATACTAAAATACTGGGTTTTCTTTTATGTTTGATATGTTGTTTCTCCTCTTTTCTACGGTGAAATACAGGGGAGTTAATGGTATATTACAAGTTGATAATATTCCTTCCTTTATAGGCTGTGACCATAATGAGCCACCTGGTGTTGAACAGACAGTGATTAACATGACTGGTCAGACCAGCAACAGCCACAATGGTCTTGCAGCAGTAATGTTTTTAATGATTTTTCTTGAATTTTGACATTTTTGTCTGTTGCAACTATGATGTGCAGTGGAGGGAAAAAGAAAAGAAAAGAAACAGAATTTAAATTCTATCCTCTTTCTGTCTATGTTGAAAAAATACACTGTTCGATGTGTATTTGTGGTCCTCAATGATATTTAATGAGTACACATTGGACCACTTGGATCATCACTTCAGTAAACGTCCCTATACATATAAAGTAAGAAAGGAAATACGTGACCTGGTGATTACTTGTTTACATTATAGGCAACAGCCTTAAAAAGTTTTTTTTTATTCTGCGATTACTAGTCTCAGTTGAAACTACTCGAATACAACACAATTTTGATTTGTTGTGAGAATGCCTACAGGCATGTTATGCTTACATGAATCAGCTGTTCTGCTTGACCATTTCACAATTACTGAGTTGTTTTTTTCCTTCATGAGAAAACATTGTCAGCTGTTTTTTTTTATTTTTTAAATACCTTCAAATCTTTCCTCTATCTGTGTCTCTGTGTTGCATTTAAGATCAATGTTCTCGTGATTCCTTTGGCCGTTTTCATGAGAGCTCTTCACCTCTGTGTTGAAATGATCTTCATCTGTCACTGGTCAGTTGGCATATACATCACATGTTAGCCTTGTTCCCCTTTTTTTCTTCTACCTTTCAGCTTTTTCATCATCTTCTGGTCCAGTCATTCAGCAGATTGGTATTCTCACTGCTGTTTCATAAGAGCAGCTCTCTGGTTCTTTTTACTGTTAGTCATCCATTGTGGATTGTGCCTTTTAAGTGACCAGTTCTTTGGTGGGTGCAGCGCATGTCCACCTTTTTGTGAGATTCACATGTAATGTATTTTTGGTAAACTTTGCAATGTAGAAATAGATCAACTATCTCCATTAGTCGGAAAACATGAAGCTATTCAGTCATACATTCATTTTTTTTCTCTTTGAGAAGGGTTAGGGTTAGCCTATGCACATCTGTGTTACTGTTGTTAAAGCTGTGATGTTTCTACTGCTCACTGTGTATGAAAAAACCTGTATCTTTTGTAAAATACAGTTTCCCAGCAATTGTTAAGTGTTTTTTTCTATTAAGCTAAAATAATATTAAAAAAACACAGAACATAAAATACACTTGAATGAACCTTCTTAAGTGCCCACTGAAGTCTAAATAACAGTTCTGTTTAAAGATGTTTCTGTTTACATTTTAAATTCTACGTTTTTTCTGAAGATTAAATAAATGTGCTCATGAATGACATTTTTTGGAATATACCCTCGCCTTCACTTGGATGTCTAGTTGGGAGTAAAAGGAGGGAAAACGCTAAATTAAAGGTACACTCCATTGTAGAAAATTTGTTGCCAGACTTTTCAGCTCATTAAAGGGGATGTCGAAGCCGCCGAGGTGCAGGCTTAGGACCCTTTGTTATCTGGGTACTTTCCTCTTTGAATTATGAGCCATTTTTAGTTCAGTGTGTAAAATATGGTATGTGATTGATATCTAAGTATAATTCTAGTCTATTGTATGTTATATTCTAGTTTATTTTGTAGTTATGTGCAAAGATAAGAAAGAAATATTTGTGAGTTTTCGTCAGGCTTTCTCTGAAGACGCCTAATTTTGGCCCCAATGCATTCTGGAGCTGTCCCCGCTCTTCTGTCGGGATCCACCGCTAACGTGAAGCTGGTAAGGATAAACTGGTCAGAGCAATTAAAGGGGAAATGTTGCAGGAATATAACTCCGCTATGGTCCTAAAATCGCATATAGGGCAATTGCAAACAGTCATACTGCACTGTATCATCACAAACTTTGCACAACTTGCATGTGTACCCTTTTTCTATTGATACCAACTCTGATGTTTCACTCATCGCATGGCGAGGGACAGGAAGGGGTTAATTTTTTCCGCCGCCGACATTTTTGTTCCGCGGTCTACGGCAACTTTTTAACTTAAATGTGCACTGACGCTGGCTGAATCATTCACTACATTGCATTAGATTTCTAAGTTGCAGTGTGCATCATGTGTGTTTTCAAATGTGTTATAGACTTCGCGCCGGGACGCCACGGTCCCTTTGTGGCACATAGCTGCTTATGCCCATCGCCGCATGTATGGATCTGCGTTTGCTAGCCACAGCTAGCATGAACAAAAAACTGCATTTGCAGCAAAACAAACAGACATGGCAGGTGTAGCTGTCACTGCCAGCACATGTATCTCGAAGTTGAATCCCCAGACAGTCAATATTGTGTAGCTCAGCACAGGAAGCGGAGGTGTAGGTTCAGTCATCACTTATATTCTTAGCCAGTGCCTGAGGGTTGAATGAACGTGGGATCGTTTTGCCTCTTGAACACTACCTTGGTGTGTCAAAAGAGGCCCCTAACAACCCGCTGATGTTTACAGAACACAAATTATAAATAAAGAGTTAACAATGTACCCTTCATTTAATGTTACGAAATGATTTGTCTTTTTATTCCGTATACAGGAATAATTTCCTGAAGTTTTTATCAAACACATTTGATTGTAGATCAGAATGCACTAGATCAGTTCCCGCTTTGATTTGGTCAGTGAAGGCAACACACCCTCTGTGCAGAATGTCCGAAATCTGTACTTTGAAATAATATTTTTGTGTTTTACTCAACTTTACACGTTATTTGAACGAGTTCAATATAATATTAACACAATATCGTTCTTCAGTCATATTTTGACTTTTCATTTATGTGTAATTTATTGAATTTAACTGGGATTTTGGTAATGATGTGCCAGACTTTTTTTTTAAGGGGAAATGTACTTACTGATATAAGTTTTCCCAGAAAATAATAATGGATCTTAATGAAAATTGTAGTACTTTTTCAACTCACATTTCATCAACTCTCTTGGCAATGTCTATAAGAACTATTAGTCTTGGAGTGTGCAGTCCAAAACAATGTTTTCTCCACATTTGTGCTAATGTGAAACAGAGATTACACAAATGCACACATAAAGGTGCTGGATAGGAGTGAAATAGCGTACCATCCTCTTCTTTTTTATCTTCTTTGACATTCTAATTTTTCTCCCTCTTCCTTTTTTAATTGTCATTTGATATTCTAACAGTGGGGACGACCCAGAGTTTCATCAGACATGTCTGTGAGGGAGTCTTTTAACCCTGAAAGCTATGAGCTGGACAAGAACTTCAGGCTCACACGCTTTGCCGAGCTCAAGGGCACAGGCTGCAAGGTTGGCTGTCCATATCAGAATCTATAGTTTATTAATTACTGCGCAGCTGAGTGTTTCTCATGATGATTAACTGGTCATAAGCAATTGTAATGAATATAACTTATTTTACTGACCACAGGTCCCCCAGGATGTCCTACAGAAGCTATTAGAAACCTTACAGGAGAATCACTATCAAGAGGATGAGCAGTTCCTGGGGGCAGTTATGCCTCGATTAGGTAATTATGCTCTTTATAATATACTACATATGGTGATATTTAAAATAGTGGCCCGCTTTTGGTTCCTGTTAATGTTTCAATACGTACTTTGGTTTTTACTGCCAAAAATACTACTAAAACAATTGCTGCAAGAAACAGACCAGCTCATAAAAAAATATATATTTGCCTCTAAACGTTTTGAAAGTAGAAACTCATCAAGATCATCTTTACTTGTGAAGGCATAGGTATGGACACCTGTGTGATCCCTCTCAGACATGGTGGGCTCTCTTTGGTCCAGACAACAGATTACATATACCCCATCGTGGATGACCCCTACATGATGGTACTGACCTCTTATTCCCTTTTTTCTCCATACAAAAAGCTGAATAACATCTCGGTTTGCAGTGTGTTTTGGTCAGCTGCCTAACTTTCGCTCGTGTTTTGCAGGGACGAATTGCTTGTGCCAACGTTCTAAGTGACCTGTATGCCATGGGAGTGACAGAGTGTGACAACATGTTGATGCTTCTGGGAGTCAGCAACAAAATGTCAGAGAAAGTAAGTGACTTGCCACCTCTAAAAAGTTTTGCGAAAATCAGCTTTTTGCACAGTCACTGTGAGCCAGGAAACAAATGCATTACTGTGTGTCTGAATTTTCTTGGGGAGGGGATGCGTATTTACTCCTGCTGCACTTGCACACTTATTATCGATTAAAAACGGAAGACATACAAAAACACACATTTTTATTGAGTTGCAATTTTTATCTGTGAATTTATGTATATCAAATATAAATTCTACTGTCTTTACACAGTGTTTGTTTTTAAAGGTTTTGGACGTACCTACAGTTTTATAGCTGGACTGAAATGGAGATCCTATCACACATAACTAACTTTTGTTAGTGAGATGCTGACCTGAATGCTGAGCTTTGATCTTTCAAAGCTCAGCAGCTGTGGTTCTTTCTGCCCAGGAAGAGCTGCTGAATGCTTGCTTACTAATCCACTTTGAAAGAAGGGAGAGTGAGAGCACATTAGATAAACTATACCTCTTTTTAAAATTCTTTTGTCGGCCACTTTGTCTTGGCTGTGTAAATTGATACAACAGCAGAAGGATCGAACTGATCCTTTTAGTCATTACTGGCTCATTAGAATCTGCCCAGGAGCTCGTGCCATCTGAAATGATTAATATTGCATGATGCTTCCTGGATCAACTCTCGTATCTGTGTGTTTTCAGGAGAGAGACAAAGTTATGCCACTGATCATTCAGGGATTCAAAGATGCATCAGAGGAGGCCGGCACATCCGTAACGGGAGGCCAAACGGTGCTCAACCCCTGGGTTGTGATGGGAGGAGTCGCCACAACAGTTTGCCAGCCCAACGAGTTTATAATGTAGGAACGGGTCTCTCTTTGTTGTTTTGCTCTTTGTGCATCTGTCTAAAGAAACAACTTGTGTTAATTCCACTCTCAGGCCAGACAACGCAGTGCCAGGAGACGTGTTAGTGTTGACCAAGCCCCTTGGAACACAAGTGGCCGTTGCAGTGCACCAGTGGTTAGATATTGTAAGTTTGGCTTCTGAGCCGTCAGTTGTCCTTTTTCTTTTCTTTTTTTTTTTAAATCAGGAACTTATTGATCTTTAATTATGGACAGTTATAACTGGTTGTGCTTTCTTTCTTCCTCAGCCTGAGAAATGGAACAAGATAAAGCTGGTGGTAACCCAGGAAGATGTAGAGCTAGCGTACCATGAAGCCATGATGAACATGGCCCGGCTCAACAGGACAGGTAGAGCCGTCATTCATGTGTCCTAAAGTTACAACGCCACGTCACGTGCACAGGGGTCCCCTTCCATGCCACGGTTCACCTTTGGTGCTTTAGATTGCGGGATTATCTATCTTTTATCTGAATTCTTTTTGAAAGAATATTTTTTTTAGCCTTAAAAATGTTGTATTTATTATTTAGACATCTAAAAAATCTGAGGACCCCCATATGGAAAAAAACAGCCATGGCTGCTCCTGCTTCAGCTCATTTCCCCCCCAGGTAATGGTCTATTCTATGACATGCTATTGGCCCATGGATGGAAGGCAACCAAGTGCACATATAGAATCTTATATTTAGGTAAAATTAAAATTACGCAGGCGTTGATAATGTGAAAAGAGTTTAAGAGGATATGACGTGTTCGTATGAGTGTGGGCAAGGTTTTTAAAGCCTTAAGAGATGCATATTACTGTTTTCATCTATGGCAGGGGGTTCTGTATGTCGACATGTTACCACAGTTCCTGACATTTTAATGAGATAAACTGTGCCAGTTCCTGGAAAGCAAAGTCTGAAACAGTGGCAGACTCTGCAGGCGCTCAGCTGCACTGCATCCAGAAGACGTAATAAGTCAAATATAATCCTTATTAAAAAACCTGCTGTAAAACACTCTGACCTGTTGGGTTTGAGCTGCATGTGCACACTACAGCCAGAAATGTTTAGTCAAGGTTGCAAAGTGAGTGGGTACTCGTGGTTTTAATGAAGTCTTTTTATTTGAAACTTATCGAATTAACTGTTAATTGAATGTACTAACAATCGATTGAAGACAACAGATGAGGTCCGAAAATAACATTTTGTTATGAAGCCTAATTTATTTTATGCCATTCACTGCCTGTAGGCTGAGTCGGTTGTTTGGAACATCCTCCTAAACCCAGATTTGATATCAGATCAGCCCAGTTTTCATGCAAACTGAATGTAGTCCAGAGCGCGTAATAGATCTAAAATGGTTCAAGTTATTAGAAATGTATCTAATATATAATCCTCAGCAGCTGCAGCACTCGTTTTACTGAAGTCCGTCCTGACTGGCCTCTCTGCTCCCTCACAGCTGCCGGTCTCATGCACACCTTCAACGCCCACGCTGCCACCGACATCACGGGGTTTGGCATCCTCGGCCACGCACAGACGTTGGCACGACAACAGCGGAGTGAGGTGTCATTCGTGATCCACAACCTTCCAGTGCTCGCCAAGATGGCAGCGGTGTCCAAGGCCTGTGGAAACATGTTTGGACTCATGCATGGCACCTGTCCAGAAACATCAGGTAGGTGTTTGCATGCTTCTCCTCTAAGCCGGTGCTTTTTAACCCGCCAAATGTTTACAGTATAGACATCTTTACGGCATAAATCTCTGCAAATGCCTATCAGGTCGCTGAAAACAAACAATAATTTAAAGATGTTTAACGTTTGTTGTGGCTACAGTAAAACTGGCGGCAGACAGAACCAGTAGATTCTGAACTTGTGGGGGGAAAATGCTGTTATTTTTGGAAAAAAGTTACAGCTGTGACCAGACCCAATTTGCTGCTCGACCTGTTGAACCGTTCAGTGCGTGGGTTGTAGCGTGTGAACACAGCCTGTTGACCTGTGTGGGGCCTCACTTACAATGAATGAACGTGTAAGGTGGAAAATAAAAGACGTTTGAATGGAACAGATTTCTTTGTTTTGTTTTCCCCGTGATGAGTCATTACAGCACCAAACCAGACTGCCCGGCCTTAACGGCCAACCAAAGCTAAATATAAATCTTATTACCATCCTCAGGGTAGGGTTTTGATTAACTTATTTATTTATTTCATTTTATTTTTGTTACTACACTGTGATCTGATGTAATCCTGGTAATCAAGAACATGAGAAAGAAGAAGTTCTGCTCTTGTTTTGACCGAGAACAGAAATGATCTAAATGAGTAGTGTAATGAGTAGTATGAGCAAACGGCCTGTATATAGAATGCTGGGAGGAGTTCTGCTGTCATCAGCCTCACTGTGAGCTGTGCATTAATGCCTCAGATATCAGAAGCATCATTTTGAGGAGCTCTAATTAAGTACTTTCATTTTATTCTCTGCCACCGTCCCTCCCGAAAGAGCCCATCTTTTATTCGGCTGGACTGACAACATCCTGTTCTGTTCCTTCACAGGAGGCCTCCTTATCTGTTTGCCCCGGGAGCAGGCCGCCCGCTTCTGTGCCGAGATCAAATCCCCAAAATACGGCGAGGGCCACCAAGCGTGGATCATCGGGATTGTTGAGAAAGGAAACCGCACTGCTCGCATCATCGACAAGCCGCGAATCATAGAGGTGGCACCACAAGCAGCCACACAGAATGTCAACCCAACACCTGGTGCAACTTCTTAACCTCCCGTCTGCTGCGTCATAGACCTGAACCCAACCGCTCTGTCAAGAGATTTTAGACACATAAACCGCAAAACCATCCTAGAGTGTTGAAACATATACACAAGATAGCGAGTACACAGCAAAGACTGGGTTGGTGTGCATCAGCGGGGAAAGGGCTCCACACAGTGGCCTCGGGGGCACGGCGCCACCCAGTGGACTCAACCTGCAGTGTCCCCCATGATCAGAAATTGGCGACAAATAGAGACAACTTATAATCCATTTGCCTTTTGTGTCTGTTATGTTAAAAGTGTTTGACAGGCAGCTTCTGATAAGAGAGCGATGATGAAGACAATAATCTCAAATGGCTGATTCATTTTGAATCTTAGGAAGTCTGGAGTCTGTTGCCTCTGTCTCTTTTAAAATGGCTCTCATCAAACAAGCACACTGTGTATTGGTGTTTTTGTTTGTTGTCCATTCACTTTGTACAGTTTAAAAGCCTAGTTTTAGTTTGTTGCTGTATCTGATGCCTCGAAAGACATAGTGTGACCAGAATGGCTTGTTTTTTTATTCCTTTGACTTTTTGTAATGTCCCCACATAAACTAATAAATATTCAAATTGAATTGGTTTGTACTCAGTACTTCTAAAACATGCGGTTTAAAGCAATCCTGCTCCTCAACATTTTTTCATACATTGATGACAGTATCATAAATGAGTTTAATCTGCACAGCTCTCAGGATGTAAACTTAATACAACCGGCTGTCATAATATATTATAAAATGTACTGCCTGGGATCCGAGTTTCATTGTAAAATATCCAGATTGTTTTTGTTTTGGATTCAGTGCTTTCTGTTTGTCATTTGTTAATATTGGCAGATATGGTGAAAGCAAACAGGACATAAAGCCTCCATTATTGGTCAGTTTTTCTTTTCCCTGGTGATTCTGAGCTGCATAAATGTTAGGAAGAAGCTAAAACCCATGCCCTGTCTCTTACAATACAGCTCAAAATTAGTATATATATGTTTAATGTGATAAAACGGCATCTTTCTTTTAATTGGAAAGGACTTATCAGCTTGGTTAACTTTTGTTTGGCTGTTCAATTTAACTGCAGTAAGACTTTCAAGTTTTGTTTGTTCAATTATTTATTTATGAACAGAAAAAACACCTCAATATGACATGCACACTCAACAGGTGCCATCTCTCAACATATTTCAAACACTACTGGATTCTTCATACAAATATTTACAAGTTTTCTATTCACAAATCACAGACTTTTGTTTTTTTAAATAAATATGGATGTTTTTACATTAGTTGCATGATATCTATATACAGTGTGGGCCATACACTGACAGGAGAAAAACAGACATTCGGCCATTAACAAAATTTTATTCCCTTAGCACCAAACAGATCATCTCTAACAGGTACAATCCAAAATGAAATATAATAGAGGAGTAACAACTATTCCTTTTGTCTGACTGAGTGGAATGCCCAGTTCCTGTGGCGGGACTCACCCAGAAAGCAGCAAGATCTAAAGTGCAACCGATCCCTGGAACTTGTAGATTTCATGACTGAATCAAAGACCCTGCCCACAGTGTCATTTACGAGTGCTTTTTCCCATTTTCCAGCTGCACGTGCTTTGCAGGCTCTACTTCCTTCTTGTTATTTTCAAGCTTGAAAAGCGCTTGGATATCCGTCATGGCTTTCTGAATGTGTTGACCAAACCGGCACGAGTCCTGCAGGTCACAAGGGAGATAAAGAAAACGCGTAAGCTGGGACGGATCATACCAGCAGTTCTCGGTGGACCTGCAGCGGGACGTGTGACAGTCTAGTTTGGGCTCTTACCGTGTTTGAGCTGGAGAACTTGCTGGAGATGTGGAATGTGATGAGATTTTCCCCAACAATTATGTAAGACACACCATAGCCATCATCTGCCACCTGGGGACGTACAAGCAATGTTGTTATATTGTAATCAAGCCTGTTGATTGAATAACGTCCCCTTCAAAATGAAATAGCGTAACTCACAGGGCCAAATCCACCTCCAGCACCCACATATTTAGGGAACTTGTTGATGTCGACTAAATTGAGCTGCTGCTGTGGAGTCTGACTTGTGGATAACCTCCAAGGCTCTGAAAGCACCTGGTGGATCAGACAACAAATAAAGGAAAGAAAATGGCAGATTTGCTGGGACACTAAAAGCAGTCGAGTGAAAAAGAGATGGCTATAGAGAACTGACCTTTGTAAGAAAAGGCGAGTCGATGCCGAAGTATTTTGACACTATGTAGAGACAGAAGAGGTGGCGATCGATGCCAGATCCAGTCATGGCCATACGGTACATGTTCTGATGCGTCTCTGCTGCCTTCCGAAACAAAGCAAGCCTTTGGACATTCTGTGGTCACAGTAAAGGCAGGAAAACACCAATTTAGCTTTTACATTTGTTCTCATACGCACACGAAAGCATAACTTGCAAAAAAGTCCTTGACTATGACTCTGATGTATCATAGCGACCTAATTTTTATCAACACAATCGGGATGTTTTAACCGATGTGAGAACATCCAATAGTTCAGAGTCCAGGGTACAGAGACCTGTTCTTTTCTCAATAGTCCTAAATAGAGCAACATGACTTCTGACAGCGTGACATTTTGTACTCGCTACAAGTGTGTCCCCACACACTACGTCACTGTGTGGAGTGTTACAGCAGACGGGTGTTACACGACATCTGCTGGATGTTTTCAGGAAAAATTCAGTATACTGTGAAAAATATGCTGCTGGCGTTGGTTATAAGGTCCTATTATAATGAGGTCATGTTTTGTCCAGGTGAATTTTTTTCTGCTTACCGTTGCACTTTTATCTTCCATGGCTCTGACAAAAGCAACGGCCTCAGATGTGCAGGAGCGTACCGTCTCTGTCCGTCCGTCTCTGAACATCCGGGTCATGGATGACTCATACGTAAGGCAGAACACACCCTGGTCCTTCAAAGCAAACATGCCATTTTTTTCAATTTTAGATCACACATTTAGAAAAATCAGAAGTCAGTGAAAATGCCAGATATGTCGTGATTTGTTAGTCAGACTTTACCCTGAACTGTGCGAGCTGCAGGGCCAGCTGGATGAAGGCGTCAGGGCTGGTCCTGCACCTCTTGATTTGGCCTTTGCCAAACTCAGTAAAGAGATAGCCGTGGAAGTCCACGTCATCGGCTATCTGCTTGGCTGTTAGGTAAGAAGTTTCAATCACCTCTTGGCACTAATATAAAAAGGGAAAATAAAGAGTAAAACCTTGTTCAAAGATCAGATCTGGATGAAACATGTGACTGTTTTACTGTACCTCCTTCTGGATCTGCCACTGTAGTCTGGCGGGGAAAGGCAGACCCCTGTTCACGTCCCCTTTACAATGCCCTTCCTCTGTATAGCCAAGATGAAAGCAGTCGGTTGCAAGAACATACTATATAGAGAGGAAATCCCATTTGAAACAACAATCTGCACAATTTGAATCTAGGCTCAATATGCTTTCAAAGTGCTAAAATGTGTTTCATACCTCCCACATGTGTCCGGCGATCGGGGCATCAGCCCAAGAATGTTCAACATTTACACCCATCTTTCCATTTGGATATGAAATTAGAGTGAAAGACTTGTCAAACCACCTGTGATGAAAGACAGAACACTGTCTTCCGGTAAACACACCACGGAAAGTCGAATGTTTACTGAAGCTCCTCTCCTTGCCTACCTGTCATAACATCTCCCATGCAAAAGGGACTTGGCGTAACTGTCAAGTGACTTGGCCTTTGCAGGGTCGTAACCCTCTGGCTCATCATCAAGTGCTAAAAAGAAGGCAGCTGACTCAATGGCATCCAGGGACATTTTATTTACCCCCTGGCTGAAATATTTCATCCGAGCCCGAGCCCATGGAACTCTGGAGAAAACAGTTAGAGAGTTCAGCCATTTATCTGCTGCTTGTTAGTTATATGTCCACGAGTGTGTTTGGACATGCCTGTTTCCTGCTGTCAGGGCGGCTAGTTTGAGTTCTCCTGGTTGGGGTTCTGACGTGTCGTTCAGGATTCTTTGAAACTGCGTCTCCAGCTCACTGGGCAGGAGGTGGCGCCCTCCCGTGTAGAGCCACAGCTGGAAGAAGCGGCCTTTGTGATAGACGATCAGGTGCTTTCGGTCCATCAGATGTTGCACAATATCTGCAAACATTAAGCCAGAAAACGGCACCAAGTTTTCAGCAACAGAATTAAGAGCGAGATATAATTAGAGGTACAATCACGTAGAAAGAAGCACTTTTGTTCACGCCTTAACAGGTGTGTCTTTAAATAGCTGCTGGGAAGTGCTATGACACTGTACAAAATGTATGCAACACTATGATGGCGATGTTCTCATATATGTTTGAGCACTGTTTCAGCTTTACAAATCAGCTCACCTGTTTCAACGCCAGGGAGGCGGGTGGTGTTAAACATCCTCTCCATCTGAGTGGAGCACATGGGAACAGTTCCTAAAGCCCTCAGCTGAGGAGAAGCGTAAAACACAGTCAGGCTGTCACAACGTCGAATCTGGTTGGAAAAAGCCGATGGATGGAAATGAAAAAAAAAACAATCGTGTGCGTTACCGGTGCGTGTTCACCACGTTCGAGTTTGCGTCTGTACTGCAGCATAGCATGGACCACATTTCCTGCCCGAGCAGCCTGGCGGTGTGTCGGGGTCACGTACAGGAGGTCCTGCACACACATTAGACCGCCGCACCACAAAATACGGATTAATTTACAACTTTCATTGTTACAATAGTTTGTATGCCTTAATAATGATTATAAAAATAACCTCCACTGGAAACATGCAAAGGTAACAACAACTTGACTCACCATTATATAGAAGTTGCTGTTGACCATAATGGGACTCCGGCCTCTGAGGTAAATGTACTCCTCCCACCAGTCGCTTACCTTGAGGAGAGGACAAGTTACTGTGGTGAAATTGTTTAAAATGAAGGGAATTTAGGTTCCTGTGTTGTATCGTATGTACACAATACTTACATAATTTGTTGCCCACCAGGATTTTAGGATCAAATATCTCTGTAGCCGAGCTGCTTTAGATTCTTTAAATTCATAGGCCAAAGTCTCCATTTGTTTGTACTGTGCACCGTCCAGCAGAGGACGCACAGACTGAAGGTACTGTAGAAAAAGAGAGAGATGCTGTTATGTGGAAAAGCACCTGAGCATCCGACACACAATTAGAACCCCCCATGCCATCCAGGAAAGGTCTGTTGCTGGGTCACAGTTATCGTGCTGCTGTCTGATCATGGAGGCTCATGCCTGTGTGGTTATTTACCCTCTGAATGGTTTCGTCCACGCTGGGCACGGGGAGACGGGGTAAAGAAGCCTGGAAACTGTACAAAAGAGGCCTCCGTCCTGACAACATCTTAACCAGGCTCTGACAAAAAATAACACAAAAAAATCATATCAATACTTCATGACTCCTGCAATGAGGGCCATAAAGAAAGCTGAATGGATGACAGAAAATTCAGGTCCGCAAACAATCTAAGGGGAAACTTCAATTTGGGGATACAAACTCACCAGCCACACTTTAGTCGATGTGCTCATTTTTCCGTGGGATTCAAAAATCCATCCGTGGTAGGAGAGCAGAGCTTTGAGAGTGTATCTCAGGAGGTAGATGAAGAAGAGCCACAGTCCGGTGGCAAATAGCATGGCACTCAGGACTGCTCTGGTCTGTACTGACAAATAACCGCTGCTCAGAAAAGGCACAAAGCTGGTTAGTCAAAGACCATGAAACTGGGTCCCAAGTATGCATGCCTTGTGCACGTTTGGGATACTGACCTGTGGGGCAGGATTTCCTTGATGGTATCTATCATTCCGAGAGACGGATCTAAGTGAATGTACAAGGAGCTCATCATAACGATCACAACTATGAGCCAACTGGATGGACTTGCGGGGTAGACTCCTGCCAGAACACCGTTCTGCGTATGAAAAATATCAGGCTCTGATTTCTGCCCAGTCTGAACAGTTGAAACACTTTCTTTAACCTCACCGAGTTAATCCTCGTTCATAATACTGATTTGTTAAGATTAGATATGCAGAGCTGGTGTTGGTACCTTAAACCGAATGGCTCTCTTCTTCCATGCCGTCACTCCTGACAGGTAGATGTTTTTGATGACCTCTTGGCTCAGTTTGAGGTCCACACCATCTGGGCGCACAGTGAACTGGAAACCCACTGCCTGATGCGCCTCCGCCATCTGTATTTTCAATATCAGGGGTGGCAATTTGAAACTCTGTCTGATTCGTATGATATAAATAACTGTTTTTTTTATACTCGAGCTAAGTAAGCAAACTCACTTTGTTGAAGTTTTGTCATTAAGAAATGTCTTAGAATGAAATGAACTCACTTGATTCAGGTCCGTTATCGTATATCGTATAGTATTGGATGTATTCAGTCATATTTGTTGTTAATGTTTAAGGCTTTAGTGCTAATCTAGTCTGCATAAGCACAGTACCTACATATGGTATCTTCTTTTGTTTATTAAGAAATGCATCCTTTAAATTTCCAATAGACCCAAATTTTGAGCAATCGTGATTGTTTATTAGTAAATTAAGTTGATCAATAGAATTATTAAAGTAATTTCCTTGATTAATCCTAGATTAATCTCTAAAAAAAAGCTTTTTCCATACATGAAAGTGATGGTTGTTTTAGGGAAAGTGATGTTGCGTACCTTAAAGTTGTGATAAGGTATCACTAATGTGTAATTTAATGATATATTTTTGAAGAAAAATAAATAGATGTACTGTAGGTGAAAGGTGGATAAGATCTTTGGTTGACCTATATATGTTATGACCTTCTGAAATACTAAACAAAAATATTTGGACTTCCCACATAGCTCCATATCATGGTTGGAGTGACGGGTCTGGTATTTCTTTTTCCATGTCATATGATTAAACAGTCACCAACTGGGACAAAGTTCAACAGCCTGATATGGTGGCACACCAGCTGAGCGTGTGTACAGATCTCAGAAAGACGGGCAAATATAAACACCGAGTACAACCCATTAAGGAGGCCAAAACTTTTTGGTATCAATGAATACTTTTCAGTCTTGCACATTGCAACATTCTTTGTTTAAAAATATATTTCAGAAAATCTTTTTCTCCAACTTGCCTGCCATTGAAATGATTTCCAAAAAGCATTTTATATACACTCAATGAAAGAAATGCACTTAAACAAGGCAAAACACTTTAGAAATCCTCCTCCTTTTCTATACACATGCATAAATAAAGCATTGGGTTCATATAAGAAGGGAAAATAGAAAATGCATATGATATTAGAAAGATTAACAAGAAGCGGTGACATCATTTACCTTTGTGATTGTATTGAACCCAGATGAAGAAAAGTTCAGTTTGAGAGAAGCAGACAAAGTCTTCTGTGCTGAGACATAAGCACTCTGTGCCCTTGAAGAGGCTGTTCCTCAGGTAGTGTGCATAACCTTAGTCTCCTGTGCCCTGTCTCCCCCTTCCTCAACATTTCCCTCTCTCTCTCCCTCTCTCTCCCTCTCTCTCTCTCTCTCTGGCTCACTCTCTCCCTCCTAACATGCCTCTCTTTGTAACCAGACACCAAACATGGACAGAGCCTAATCTCGTGCGCTGTGAGGTCTCAGCAACGTAACCGAATCTGCAGCAGTGCTGTGTTGAGATGAAACAGACAGCAATGTGACATTTCACCTACTGAGGCCCCCTAAATGATACTGAATTATATTTTTCAAAACAAACAGATTAAACTGTTTGAAATGAGAACATACCATAGAATTTGGGGTAAATAAAAGTACTTCTTTATTTATTTTTGACTGAATGTAATATACTGTAGGAGTAAAGGAAGGTTGTCTTGATTTTTATTAATGACCACTGACTCCCATTTTTGAACATTTTCAGTTTTATTTTACACAAAGTTCCAAAGAAGTACATTTTTGATAGTTGAACCTAATTGTAAGCAAGAAGAACAAAAAATGTGACTAAATTAGTACAGACCAATTCCAGACTGATATTTCAGGATACTTTTGGAGGAGTTTGATTCTCAGATGCCTAATAACAGTAAAGTAAGAAGATGCTCAGCAGTTTCTGACAATTTCTTTAGACCAGCATCCAATATAATTCAAAATATCCACGAAACATAATCCTGCGAAAGCAATCATGTGTATATGTGTGTGTATGTATGTATATACTGTTGCATTCAGCCACAAAATCAAGTCCAAGATAAGTGCAAAGATGTTCAACCTAACATTAGAAGTAAAGATAAAAGATACTCTCATAGCGAGTAGGAACAGGCAGACTTGGAAGAGTTGTGACGGAGAGAGTTCTGAGATCCATCTTCATGACGGTGTTGTGCTCGATACTGGGCATTAGAAACTTGTCCATCACCACTGTCCCCTGCCCTGCAAAGGTCACTTTCCTTACGCTGTGCACCTTGACGGAAAGGGCATTGATTAGTTAAAATCAGAAGTCAGAGTAGAGAAGGTATCTTTGTGCTGTTCTCTCAATGTGAATCAGAATCAGATTCGTTCCTATGTGCTTACCTGTCCCCACTTCTTTGACTGCGCGCTGAATGATGTCATCACACTCTCTGTGTTGTTTCCACCAATCACAAGCAGCTGGTCAGTAGCCCCCAAGAAATAAAGAGAAGGGAGGTCTGCATCTGCTCTGGTGAGGGTGGGGAGCAGTTCAGACCACAAGTCTAGAAAAAGGAAGGATTTAATTTCAAGAATCTTCATTACATGGGTTGATGTCAGTTGTTTTTTGTAGTTAATGTCTGATCTTTTTTTTGAGAAACATGACAGGTGATCAAAGCTCAGAGCATCTGAAAAAAGGGTGAACAAAAGTAATTTTCAGCATCTACAGCAACTTTATCCATCTAAAAGTTAATAACAGATTGAACAAATGCTGCGTTATTCATCTGAACACTGTGTTGCAGAATGGAGATTCTGCATGTGTTTGCACAATATCCCACTTCTGATTAACAGCATTCGTCAGGTGTTGTGTCAGACTAGCTGGCATTACTCTTACTATGTGTATCCAATGATGCAAAGCAACACAAATGCTCCTCAGCTGACAACAGAGTAGTTGCAGGAAAAGTAAACAGCTTTGAGGTAGTGTGAAGTTGTTACACCATAAGAGGCGGAAACGTGTTCCTTTTCGCTCCACGCTTCGCTTGCCTGGGAATATTCCTCCCTGATTTACCAAACTGATGGTGCTATAAACGCCGCCACTGACTTTCCAAAACAAACAAAACCTAATTGAATTATATCTTTAGCTCCAGTTTAACTAGCATCTGATGATTTGGGGGGGAAAAAAGCTTCACATGAAGGTAAGTGTGTTCTGGTTGGATTTTCTGCACCTTGCTTTGTGTTGTACTGCAGCAGTAACTTCTCTCCGGTCCTCAGGATGCTACCCAGCACATAGACACAGTGTCCAAGGCTGGTTGCGAGAGGGACATCGTGGGACAGGGACATGGTGAACTGGAAGTCAGTGAGGGGCAATGAGGACACGAACCTGCGGTATGAAATAAACACGGAGCTGAGGCGTACTTTTCACAAGGGGACACATTGACCTTAGAAATACATAATGTGCTGGGTTACCCTTTTGTTTGCTTTAAAACAACAAGGACGCTAACCTCCAACGGTCCTCCCACGGATCGTAGCACTCCACAGCTGTGTAAAGAGCTGTGCTGGAGTCTGGTGTTACCAGGGAGTCCAAGTACCAGCCTCCCACGGCGTAAATACAGCCTTCACAGGCCACTGCGCTGAAGTGCCTTCTGCGCTGTAAAGCAGCAGCTGGTGACATTCGGTTTGTCTTTTTCAGAATAATACGTTTTTCGTCTGACAAAGACAGTATTTGCTGTATTATTGTTCAGAAGGTGACTACAATACCTTTATCAGAGGCGACGTGGCAGCCCACGAATGAGCTAGGGGATTAAACCTAAAAGAAGCCATACAGAACTCCCAGCCTCTCTTTTTACGTTGTCTGTAGCCTCCTATGACGTACAAGTAGTTGTAAAGCACCACCGTGGTGAAACACCATTTATCAGCCCTAAAAGGAAGCTCTGTGACCGGATGCCAAACTCCGCCGTTCTCTGGTCCTTTCAGGGTGAAAACGTGTCTGGCTTGTTCTGTTTCTGGGTCATTCCAAGATGTCAGATTTTCTTTCCGGACGCTGCACAGATGTTGATTTCCACATATCCTCAAGTTCAATACTTTCTCCTTCTCCTCATCATTCAGACATCTGTGGTAAGAATAAGTAACAGTGACAGTTAAACTCCTTTAGGTAATTATACATCTGTAAAAAAACTAAACAAAAAAAAACCCCCACCACAAACCTGATGATGTGTGGCAGCTCCAGCAGGTTTCTACTCAGATAACTGAGTACTGCCACCTTCAGCTCAGCACAGAAGATTTCCTGAGCAAGACTCAGGTATGATAAACAGTTAGATGGACTGAGTTCATCTGCCAGGACTGACAGACACCTCGAGAGGAAGGCCTCAGCTAAGAGATAGCTGCTTACCTCAGAAATGAGAAGTGAGAGAGAGAAATATAGGCAGCTGTTTCAAAGGAAAGCATGCTCTTCCCTGTAGAGATGAGGATTTTATATCGGTTTACCTGGATGTGCTCTCCCAGCTCTTCTTTGGGAGCTTTAAAATGACAGTTGAAGGAGAACTCGAGGAGATTGTGGAAGACGGAGGAAGGGATGTGCTCCAGGTGAATGAGGCTCTCTGAGGTCTCTCTCATTCTGGACTGGGACAGGGCGCGGAAGTACTCACTGCACTCTGAAAGCCTGTGCAGATCCACCTATGAAATAGAAGATTAAACAGCCCATTTTCCCTGCTTTTGTTTGTGTATAATGAACCTTACTGTTAGGAGGCCTGCATCTTTGTACTCACATGAAAAGCATGTGTGCTGGTTTGGACTGTCACCATGGTCTCATTTCCATGTCCAAAGTGATATGTACGAAATGCCTCATTAGTTGTCCATTCCTCAGAGTCTGCTCGACAGATTCCTCCATCTATAGCAGCAGGTGATGCAACCCGTTCGCTGACAACTGGAAAAGCACCAAAAAGTCCTCCAAAAGCATATTCAAACCACAGGCTTATCCACCTGACGAGGCTAATAAAATATTGCCAGAGAGCTTTCATCTCACCGTTGCCTGATGTGGACTTTATGGAGCTTTTATTTTCTCCTTAATTCAAACTTATTTGTCCTTTGTAGCAGCTATGCAAAAGGTCTTCCAGTAAACTCCACACAGGTACAATATTCAGAATGGCGCCACAAGTTGACAACAACACAACGTAAAAAGAAAAGATGGTCGGTTTAGATGGTGCACCACCAGCTTAGGTCCCAGCTCTCAAAGCCATGCGTTCCTCAACAGATCAAACACCAAAACAGCTCTGGAAGACCGAAGGATGCACGACGACAACATCAGCATGGCCTGAAATGTAAAATCTTCCAACAGAACTCCTGCTATTCTCTTTCAGATCCAGTGGCTGATCTCGATCTTTGAGCTGTGTGTTTCTCTCTGGCTGTTCTATTCTTGGCTCTCAGGGGTGGGTACCCGTCAGCCTTCAAGAATGAAACATGGTCCTTGCCTAGCTTGACACGTCATAACGGGGCACTCAAATTACTCTGGAGGAAGATGACAGTTACATAAGAGTAATATCACATATAGCAAAACATATCAATACGTGCGACGCCTTTGGGAAATAAATGAGGAAAAAAACAGCTCGTGAAACAGATTAAAAGTTCATTGATTTTATAGTTTTAGGTTTCTTTCAAATAGAGCAAATGAGAACAAACATCGTACAGACAGGCAATAAGAAAACAATCCTTTTAAACAGCTCAAGCAACTCAATACATTAGAGGATGTTTTTCTTATGAGTAAACTGACCAAAATCATTCAGGGACAACACTAATATATTCAGTAAATAAAACATTGCAAACAGAGGGACAATTTAAATAAATAGAAGTACTTTGTAATTAAAACACAACTTCTAGGAAATATTTGAAACATAAAAATGTCAGTAAAAGTTTTGCAGCTGGTGGACATTTGAAATGATAATGATATAGGTTAAGAATATACAAAAATGTGTATCCAAATATTTTGTGCAATAATTTGCACAAAAAATGAACATGCACACAAACAAGACAGATTTTTCATGAGGGGAAAAAGGAGAAAAAAACATGAAAAGATGAAAAACAGTTTGAAGAAAATGTTGGCAGACAGGTAGTTCAGAAAATATGCACGCAGATATCAAAACGGATTTAGTTTAAAAACCCAACTTCACATAACTGTTTTAATGGTTAAACAGTATTGTCAAATAAGGTGTAACTTTATTAAATAGCCCTCACATTCGGAATCCGAGCAAGATTTTTGATGATTGGAGATTTAAAAAGTTACTGAGGAATATTTTCATGGTTCAAAGTCAAACTACTTGAGACAGGACAGGCGGTGGTAGCAAAGGGAGGGATTTAGTCATAGTGACATCAGTTCTGCTCTAACAGGTTAGTTATTACCAGCCCATATGAAATGTATGCTTCCAGTGCAGAGCAAGCACAAAAAGAGAGAGAATTGAGGTAGAATGAAAGCAGTATAAATGTCTGCAGCGTGTTGTCATTACTATTAAAGCGTGTTATACAAAGACCTCCCATGCTGATCTCAGTAGTAGTGGCTTTGTACAGAAAACTGACCATGACATAGACAGTCCAGTCTGGAAAGACATTCATTATCTGCCAAGGCTACCAGCCCGCCCTCTGATATGACATGCACAGAGAACATGGTTAAAGAACCATTTATGCCACCGTCACAAAGTGGTCCAGAGAAATGACCAGCATAAAAAAGACAAGCTTGTTGTTATACATGTACATCTGAGCATGTGACAAATAAAACGTAAATCTTTAATCTAGACAGACCGAAATCAGGCTGAGAAACACCACAAAAACAACACTATCTAAAACTAACTGACAGAGCCTGCTTTTCACCGCCTTGTAATGTTGATCATTTACCTTCCACAAAAACGTACTGCTACTGCTTACTTTCATTGAAGTTAAAAGTGGGTGTTCAAATCTGCACACAAACATAAGATGAGCTTGAATGAGGAAAATGAGTGGGTCCATTCTGATGAGCACGACGGAATTCAGGAGTACAGCTTCTTTTGCTTGAAGTAAGCATCAAACCGGCTCTGGGCATAATCCTGCAAGATAACATTAGAGGAGGTCAACAACAGAGGGCATTTTCCCACACTGAACCTGAAGTGGACGGGGGCCACTTAAAGGGGTCATGTCCTTAAAAAATCAATGACTTGGAAAGAAAAAAAATTGAAGGGAAGGAGCGGTCAATTCAAGATCAGATTTTCAAAATAAAATCTAGCTATAATACACTAAACAATAGCTTCTGTAGCTAAAGGCAGTGTGCATTAAGTCACTCCAGAAACTTATTTAAATAGTACAAAATTCTTGTTTAACAAAAACATTCATGCAGTTAAAACAACAAAGAACTTACCATGTATCCAAACTCAATCTTGGACAGTTTAGCTTGAATGATGGACCATAAACCCCATAGAAAGTGTGATGCTAGTGCAAATCTGCAATGTCAAATAAAGATGATGGAAGTTCAGGGTTCTGGTGACTCGGCAGTGGACGGAAAACAAAAGAAAATATCTCCCGTTACCTCAATCATGTGCTCACCTGTTAGCTTCAATTATCAGGTCCTCTTCGATTTGTGTCTGGTCCACAGTACTATCAGCGTGTCTTCGTTGTTCTCCCAAATAACTTCTTATGAACAGAAGCTGAAATTAATATGAATATTAATTATGAGAGACTCAGAATTTAAGAACAATAATCAGTTACTGATGGTGCGAGTGAGTTTGTTTATCAAGTCATGCAGCTTAAATTCTTTGTGATACGTCTTAAAAATAACACTGAATCTTAAATGCGTGTTTCACCACTGGATGGCACCAGAACGCCTCACAGCTGCTATCCTCGCAAACTGGATTATCTGACAACTTGGATTAAAACAGCAGCACTGCTATCCATATTAGGATTTCTGATTTCAGTTTAGAATATGTCAATTACTAATTTACTTGTAAAGAATCACCTTTGCTTCAATGCAGTGTTTCGACTGACCTGCTGCTCTCTGGTCGGATAGTTCTCTGGCGTGGCTTTATAAAAGGGCCACTTGTTGTATGTGTAATCATACGTCCACTCGCAGAAATGGTTCCCAAAATCAAATCCTCTACACACAGAGAAAAAGTTGATCATTGATAAACAAGAAGGTGTTTAAAAAAAAAGAGATAACGTCTCAAATGAACAAAGAAAATTCAGTTTTACACTAAATTTGTGTAAAAAAGTACAGTTATTACCTGTAGTTGTAACTGCTGTATTCAAAGTCTATCAGCATCAGCTTGTCAGTTGAAGAGTGGTCCTTGTTTTCCAGCAAAAGAATGTTTCCTGCAGCAGCCAACCAAGAAGCAGAAACCAAGATCCATGAGAAATATTAATATCCTTAAAGGAGACGTCGTTTAAGCCTCAGAACAATTCATCACACATCGGTCTTTCCAATATCACAAAATAGCTTTGAAAATAAGGACAAACTTTGTTTAGATTACAACGTGCTAACAACTAAAAAGTGGAGCAGGGTCCCCAGTATGTTTAGATGTCCAATATTTCTGAACCAGAGTAGCTTAGGCATCTGCCATTTCTTTTTTCGACTTCCTCATACTTAAAGAAACCTTTAACTTACCACTTCATCTAATTTTTTACTTAAGCCATGCAGTGCTGTGGTGTTCTCCAAAAATGGTAATGGGTATGCATATATGTTACAGGTCTAAATGGGTTAAAGGATGATGCAAACAAATATGAGCTGCACCTATAAATAAGTACACACCAGCTTGACTTTGACTTGTATAATAGACACTGCCCCCTTTGAAACATGAGAGTAGAACCAGAGAGTGGATCAATCAGATCAAACCAGAAGCGTGAAGATCATTGGAGCTGTGTTGGAAGTACGAATGGCTTTTTTACCTTCTTGGACATCATTGTGACAAAACACAATTGGTGATGGCGTTTTAGCCAGCAGCGCACTGGAAGTAGCGAGATGAATAGAAAAAACAAAGGAGAGAGGAGACTGTTTGTTAGAGTTGAATGTGCAGTCTTGAATTTTAAAGTCATCCATGTAAAACGTGATAACATGTCCAAAGTACACTACAACATAAGGTTTCTAAATCTGCCTGTTGTAAGGTTCCATTGATCATTTTAAGTTAGGCTGCTATGGATACACAGCATAGACTCTCGAGAAAACCAGTCAGCTAGAAAGTAACTATCCACATTTTAGCTTAATACTTAATAGAGTAAATGAAGGGGATCTATTCTGGTCCATTTGAAAGTATAGTAATCACCCATTTCTTTACATAAGCCAAAGGCTTCTCTTGCATAAAAATACGACAACCACCAGAACATTTTAATCTATAAAGTGCTCTGAACGGCTCTCTGGAACATTGTCTGGGTCGCTTTGTGTTTGTTGGTAAAGACAAGAAAGTCAAGAAAGTGTGGCTTGGGTTTTTTTGTGTGTGTGCAAGATACTGTAAAAAGTATAATTTCAACATAAATTAGTTCAAGGACAGCTGATTAAAGAATACAAAACGGGGGATTACAAGGCAGAAACTATTTTCGTTTTATGCTTGCTTCAGACTGGGATTGTTACATATTTGCAAGATAACATTTGTTAGCAGAAACACAAAAACACTGATCTGATTCTACACGGTGTCTGAGGTGGAACTATCAGGAGAGCTCAATAGTGGTGTCGTGGAGGCACTGGGACAAAGGTCAACTAACAGTCTGGCGGAGGAAAAAAATAAACAGCATGTACTATCCCTAAATGTTAATCTTATAGCTATGACTGCCGAAGACTCATATGAAAACATATAGGCCTTTATACACCCTAGGTGTAAATTACCCTACGGTGAAACGTTAAGAGTTTTACGAACAAAGATCAGATACACCATAGACCTGAAAAAGGGCCCTTTGGAACTGAGGTGTACTTTTCTGCAGGAGGACTTTGCTTTGCTGTATCTCTAACTGATAATGGTGATAGATGACAGAGATGATCTATCAAAACAATGTTGCTGTTATGGGTGCCACATGCAGAGAGACACAGTGAAATGTCCAGTATCTGCCTGTTTTGAGGGGTGCGCTCCAACTCACCGGAGGCTCTCCAGCTCAGCAGGCAGGTTAAGCTTCATCAGCTTCCTGTACTTTTTCACGTGTGCCTCACGCACAAAATTGATCTTCATCACTTGATCCATGTATCTAAAACCAACAAAGATGTGAGTCACTGTAAGTCACCGTAGTCAGGAGAGGCGTTTCATTGTCTTACCTGTTAATGGTTCCGAACAGCCATTTAGGCTCTTTGTTAAAGGGCATAATCATGTTATGGAAGCGCGCCAGTTTGGTGGCTATCTCCGCTGAGATGGCTGGATTTGAGAGCTGATCTGTGCGCATGCGAGTGTTCTTGGGGGGAGGAGGGAGAAATTAGTTTGTTAAATGTCCAGAAAATCACAAGGAATTTATTACAGGTCTATTTTCATGCACAAACAAAACTTCTGGACAGCGACAGATGTGAATGAAACGGTTGTCATACTGGTAGGTACTGTTCCAAGCGTCCCTCTGGAAAGATGCCATAAAGTTTGGGCCCTAATGTTCGTTCTGCCAGAATGGCAAACATAACGCTCTCCAGTACGAGAGAGTCCACGCCCTGCATCACAGAGGCAGAAGCATCAGAGAAGAAGACATCTACGATTATGGCATGCTATTCCTACCAAACAGCAAACTATCTGCTGTCAGAATTAGTCACGGCCAAGTATGTGACCCAGCCAAAACACACTAACCTGCAAGATGGCCCCATAGACTCTGAGGAGCACCTGACGTGGTTCCTCTCCCACAGATGCTACATGGTCAGGCAAACAGCACAGGTACAGCAGATTACTAAGTCCTCCACTATAAAACAAGGAGACCACAGTTTAAATCATCCCGGTCATAAATGTAGACCTGAAAAAAACAAAGTCACATATAAATCAACGTAAGCACCATAAGAATCACCAAACAGGTGCTACACAAGCCTCAGCAAGCATTTTAGAGACTTGTCTGCACGCACAAAGTTGTGGCTGCCATTAATTACCTAACGATGCTGATTTGAAACTCTCTCTCTGGGATGGTCTTCCACGAACCGGATAAAAAGTCTCGGCACCAAGCATAGGCCCTACTTCTTGTGTCTCGGTCGACTTCATCACTTCTCCCATCCCGAAAGGACTCAGCCTCCGAGTCGTCATCATAATTGGCCCCGAACAGAGGACTGGGAGTCCTAGAGTTTCTCTCGTGAACGATAAGAGCGCTTCCTACTCGCTTCTTCTCTGCCGGAGGACCCGTGTCTTCCGTTAAGAAAGCAGGAGCCTTGCTCTCACACTGCCCCGGCCCTGACTTCTCTGCTTTGCCCGAAGCTTCCTCGCCGTGACAGCTACCGTGGGTTGCTTGTCCTCTAGCCTGCATTGTGAGGTTCCTGGCGAAGAATAGCGGAAGACCGAAATAAAATGTCCGTCTGAAGCGATTGCACGGGCTCGCTGACACACACCGTTAGTCTGTAAAGCTGCTTAACAGGAAGAGCCAAACATGCTGGTGGATCTGGACCGCATGGGAGGCGGCTGAGAACGATGAGTATAAAATATTCAAATGACTGTAATATGTTGGAGCACTCAACCGCTTGTGATTTGGGTTGAGCCGACGTGTTGTCGTCACTGTCCAATCACAGCTCAAGGTGCAGGTCGTATTTGTATCTCATTGGTCAGTACAAGGTTCCGTGTTGTACGTCATCATTCCGCTCTCTGATGGTATCTGGGAATTGAAGTGTTTTACAGTTGGGCTGATCTTTGGCCAGAAATTTTCATTTTAACCTGTACTGCAGGGGTGTCCAACGCCAGTCCCCGAGGGATGCTGTCCTGCAGGTTTTAGAGATTTCCCTGCTTCATTGAATAACCCCTTGACAAAGTATTGACCTTTTGTATTATAAACATCTGTTAAATTAAATTGTAAAACCAAGTACTAGTGTTATCCTTACCACAATAGGACCATCTGAAAAATGTTAAAACTGCATTTTATTGGTGAGTAATCTTTAAAACTTGTCTCCATCCCTGAAAAATTGGTGGAAACTCTTTTTGAAAATTTTGTTCAGCCAAAAATGTGGCTTCATGCTCAAGTGCCAGCTTTTAGAAGTTGCTTTTGCTCTGTGAATGTTTTTTTTTGTTTGCTTTGTTTTTTTGTCAAGAATAATCTGACTTTTACTTTCTTTACTATAAGGTATGGTTCCCAATTCCAAAATGCTGCGCAAACGTACATTTCACTTATTTTCAAAGAGACTCTCATTGTTATCCATATAGCAAAAGAACTTTGGATGGCTTAGTAATGTGAGAGAAGATCCTAAACTAGCTCATTTTTTAATTGAGATACATCTTAGTATGTGACTCTTCATATTGTTGTTAGCTAATTCAAACTCAATGTTTATAATAGAAAAATAAATCAAATTGTTGTCAGATATGAATAGATAATGTGCTGTATATCAATAGTGCTTTGTGAAAAAAGACAAACAATGATTAGGAAACACATTCAGCCAATAGTGGATTTATTTGAAGCTCAGTTATTTTTGAGACGGTGTCTTGGAGATAAGCAGATTCCGCTGGGATGTTACTGAGAAACAGCTACAGTGAAGACAACCTCCTTGCTGCTAACCACAGTGGTTTCATCTCTGTGGAGTTTCTTGGTAGAACCAGCGATTTCTCTCCCTGTTAAAAAAAAAAATCTCAGAAAATCACTTTCAGTTTATACAGCAATACACAATGTTCGTGAGTTAATCTCAGTCATAAACAAGCGATATAAACTCAAACCGTTTCTACACTGGTAATATCTAATACTCACTCTTCCTGCGGCATCTTGGTTCACAGTTATCTGCAAGTGTTGGCTGGCACACAGTAACATCACAGTGGATATAAATCTAGAAACAAAAAAAAGCATAATGTTGCAAGTAGATTTGAAAAAAAAGATTTGAAGAATATTATTAAAATTTGGATTCTCTACCTTTTCTCTCAGAGGTAACATTTGCGGATCTGCAGGTGCCTTTTTGCTGGCATCACTTACACTACCTCCAACAAAAGTGAACATCTTGAAAATGAAACGTTTGTAATGACTTGGGTACATTAGTCCAGATGAGGCATCCACAGGAACATTAGTTGTCAAATAACGGTCATCCTGATTAGGGCAGCTGTGATGAGAGGAGAGAATCTAGAGTGAAGTACTCTAAATGTCTGATGAAAGCCTCCAAAGAAATACACTAATTCTTACCCATCAATCAGCAAATCCCACTGGGGAAAACTTTGAGGGAACTGACTTGTAGTTGCCCAGCATCTTCCAAGATTCAGGACAAGGTTAGGATCAGTCCTCTCCAGCATTCGGACCTCAACATACACAGGATCCCTGAGAATCTTTGTCACTGGGTAGTCAACATCAGCGTAATAGGAAGTGTAGGCCACAGACTCTGAAGCAATAGAAAAGATTGGTTGTTGACGCAATCAGTTTGAAAAAACTATTGATTGAAAAGAAGATGTGCTCCATGCTGACCTTCGAAACAACCCTTGCCAGTACATTCGCCACTGCCCAACCTAAGCTCCACACGTAGGAGTCCAGGAGCTGCTACTGGCGGTGGCAGAGGAATCAAACCAACCTCAATGACCAAAGCCTCAACTGATGTGCCAATATATCTGCACTGGACAAACAGCCTGAGGGAAGAAATAAGAGTTGACTAACTTGATCAGAAAATCAATGCAGTAAGAGTTAACTTCATTTAAGATTTTGCACAAACTTGTTGGGCATCTCATTGTAAAATGTGAAGTCATTCACACTCGCAATATTTTGATCTATAGTTCACTAGTTAAATAGAAGGCAATAGCACTTACTCATATTGGCTGTCTCTCGTAATGGCTCCGTAAGGTCCAACGGCCACCTCATATGAAGAGGACATCCTGTTCTCGTAGATTAAAACACCCGGCTCCTCCTACAGTACATTGATCATATTTAAACAGTCATTTTACCAGACTAAAGTCATTAAATATCAAGTTTTAGAGTTAGATGAGTGCCAGCCCTTACAGTCATGACTGTCCCGCATGCAGTGACAGGGAACTGGTATATGGCAAAAGCTGAGGTGGTACCAACAGGGCCACAACCTTGATCGCTTCCGAGGAAACTGATTGTCTCCAAGTCAATGTTTGGCAAAGTGGCATCTCTGGCAACGACTATGACGAACTGACCATCCTTGGTGCACTGAAGAGTCACTGAGAAAAAGGGATATTAATGTCACAAGTTCTTGTTCACACGTCTAAAAGGAGCAAAGATAGCATGTCTCCGTGGAGAAGACTGATGTAAAGCAGAAGCACTTACCAGATTTCCCATAATAACACATGCGTCCATCAAAGCAGCAGTTGAAAGCTTCGCATTCTGAGGCGGTGATGGTTGGGCCACCACACTGAATCTTGTAGTAGTCAGCCACATCACAACTGTGAAAGGTTGGTGGTGGCACTTGAGGATTCTGAGGTTTTTTACTCTGTGGGGGGTTATAAGGTCTCTGAGGATCCTGGGGTTTCTGAGGTGGCATGGGGACGTAAGGATTCTGAGGTGGCTGTGGTTTTGCAGGATCCTGGGG